TTATTGTGCAATATTCACTTGTGCTTTGTGCTAGGCCAGGCTAGGCTGGTTTCTGGTTTTGGAAAGCAGAAGTAAACAACAGCATGGCAAACTCCAGTGACTGTGTAGCATCCAAATATGCTCTAAAAAGAGAGAACCTATAAATGTGTGTTTTTATGATTTTCCAATTGCGCTTTGTCTCATTATACACTGCAACTGCAACGTGTGTTGGAGCTACTTCTCTGGCCAAAAATGTAATGTAATGACGGAATAACAACAGTGCCAGAACTAAATGTTGTGGCCCTGTCTTTCTGCTACTGTTGCTAGAGTTGCCTGCTGTGTTGGCTGCAGTGGTGTGTGTGATTACAAGAGGGGTCTGTGAGCATGACGGATGACGGAAATGGAAATGGAAACACTCAAGTAAAGTACCTCAAAATTGGAGTACAGTATTGGAGTAAATGTACGTAGTTTTCCACTGATTGAAAAAATCTACTATTCCTCAGTAAGAGGTTATGACAAATTGTAACTTGCTGCAGATGTTGTCTTTGCTGCACCTACCTAGAAATTGACCCAGTGCCAACAGATTGAGGTTTATGAGCCAGTGCGTGGTGGCTAATTTGTGAAGTATAATGCTTCTATAATCTTTCCATGCCATTCCGTTATCAGAGGGTATTTAACTAAATCCTCTTCTTTCTGAACTAATGAGACTCTACAGGCCTTAAACCCTAATTATTGCTAACTCTAGTCATCTCCTACACATGTAATTCATGTCTAACAGGCCCAAATCACATGGGCTCCAAGTAGAGCTAGGGCGACATTGGGGGTGGGCTACAGAGGGTATTGGAAGACTTAAAAGATGGAGTGATGGGGACAATAGGGATGAGATAGGGGTGATGTAAGGGTGTAACAAAGTCTACACGCTTTTGGCTTGTAGTCAACAGGTGGGCCAATGCACCACCGACCCCCCTCCCCAATCTCACAGACCTCCAGCTAAAGAGACGGACTATAGCCAAGATCTGTCTGGCAGACAGAGAGGGGGATTTCGGCACCAAATCCAGCGGATCAATAAAAATGTCTGCTAATTAGGCTTTCCAGAAACGAAGGGGGTGGGATGAGAGTGACACAGAGAAGGGGGAGAAGAAGAAGAAAAAGAAAAACATCACAACAGCCAGTGCTTTTCCAGGAGTCTAGACAGGATAAGGAAAATCCCCAGACAGGTGTGCATGCTGTGTCAATCAGGTGATCAGGTGAAGTACACTAGACACACCACCTTGCTCTTGGCCTCAATCTAATGTAGTCTTGCCAGGCATCAGGCTCGCCCTCCCTCCTTCCCTCCATCACTCTCTTCCCCAGTCAGAGGCAACCACCCAGGCTACAGCGATCAGTTTCTCTGACCCCAATCCTTCCTACTCGTCGTCCTCCTCCCACCTTTTCGTTGTCCTCCTCCTTTTCCCTGCCCCTCCTCCTTCCTTCCTCTGGACATCACCACTTTGACCTAAATCTCCTCATTTAATCTTCTTCTTCTTCTTCTCGTCTTTTGGATAACAATCAACCCCCTAATTGTCTTAATCTCGCTGGTCTTTTATTGTCCTCGGGGCGCCATGCGTACTGCAGAACAAAAACATTAACCACAGATCAATACTTGGCATCAGGCCGCAACCACCACCATGGTCTTTATCGATTATTACTAATTTAAGGTCGGGCCACACTGTTTATGAAGTTAATTAAAATAAAAAAGAGGGCGTGAGGACATATATATAATATATAATTTCTGTTTGTCAAAGAAATATTTGAGCATCCTCTTTCATTGAGAGGGGTTGATATGTTAATAGAAATTAAAACATGAACTCAAATCAGTTTGTTCTTTTTTTCGAGAGCAAATTTTAACATGAATGAATAGCAGTATCACTTTAGGTGAAGGATAATATATTTCAGATTGGAAATTAAAGAAAAATATCAGTATTTTGTGTATCTGTGGATTAAGTCCAACCTGAAAGCAGCAGCACAAGCCAGCAGTTGTAAACACCTTCTTCAAATCTCCCCAAGCCTCTTGTTATGCTCTCTAAATAAAACAAATCTGTACATTGTCAATTTCTAAAATGAGAAGCTTATGGAATAGCACTCTCAGTTATATTACAATACGGCTTTGGGAGCTGAGCCAATTATATTAGCTTCAGTGCAGCGGTAAGCCCAGGATCAAGCTAAGGTTAGGAGATGATTTGTGTATGATTTTGAAATGACAACCCGGGGACGATAATCAAAATATTCAGAACAATAACGGATTATCTGTTTCAGTGGCTGCACTCTGCACCATCTGCTGAGGCGTGGGCAGGGGGTGAATAATGTTGTTCACTGTGTGTGCGTTTACATATAAGCATTTTTTTTTTTACTTCTTCAATTGGCAACATGCAGATTAATGTATTTATGGATCTAACCACAGAATATACTTTAAAAATTTTTTTTTTGACTTATTTATTATTTTGTCTTTATTGATCCTCTAATTTACACACCTTTAGTCACACACTTTTGTATTCACCATCCTTTTTCCCCTCTCACAACATCAACATCAACAGCTCAGGCCCCCCCCCCCCACACACACACACACACACCTCCTTGGTCCCCCTCTCTCAGTGGGTGAGTCTGGAGCATCGCAGTCAGATGACACTGTCTGACTCTGCTCTTCTGTAATCTGACATGGCTAATCTAATCTCTCTGTCTTCGCAGATTGGCAAACTACCTGGGTCTCTAACAGCCAATTAGCCCGTCTGCACAGCATGCCATGCAGGCCAGGCCAAAGCCAGCCACCGTAGGGGCCCAGCCAGCCTAGTCATGTGCTGCTGCAGGGCTCAGCGATGGCTCAGGCTGTCTGGGGCCCCAAATATCTACTTCCATAACAGCCCATCTGCCTTTGGCTTGGCCTGGTCCACTTTCATCCCCAAAGGCTGCAAAGATTAGGGATCCTCCACAGACTTTGCTGCCAATTAAAGCACTTGTTGCCATACAGTTGTTAGGTAATCACCAAAGCTATGATTCATCGCTGGGTTAAGTGGGCTACTTTGGGGCCAAGTGTTGTCTCTGGCTTCTGCAAGTCAGAAAAGGTTAATTTTACTATGAAATAAGATAATATGAAATTTGAAAACATGCAGAATTTTGAGCATTTGCAGTGTTAAATGTAGCAGAGAAAAGGGTATGTTTTGTTTAAACAATGTCAGAAGGTCATAAATAAGTCATCTGAATATAACTTATCATAACATGACTTAGGAGTGGCTGTACTAAATACATTATTGTACTGTCAGCATTTTAAATTCTACTATCCATGACCTAACTAGCATGTATCGTCTTATTTTTCATGACAAAGACTGAAGCTCTATAGCTTTCTTTTTTTAAGTTGAAATATTTTTACTTTTGGTTTACTTAAAATTAATTGTTTTGGCTTAATCTGTGCATAAACAATAGAATTTGCACTGTTACTGTAACTGGTGTCCATCATATTATATACAATTATAGAGACACAGAGGTAAATACAATGAAATAAGGTCAGAGGCCTTCTAACAGCTTATTTTCTCATCAAGCCAGTCTCACTTAATCACCTTAGCTAAATTAGTTTGAAATTAGCCCTCTTTCTAACTCCCTGTCTTCCATCTTTTCCCTCCCTTCCTCCCCCTTTTCCCCTTCAGTCGTTTTCACAGCTTTATGGATTAGACAGATTACATGTCTGAAACTCTGTTTTTGTTCTTTCTCTCTCTCTCTCTCTCTCTCTCTCTCTCTCTCTCTCTCTGTTTCAGTCCTGGACCCTCCATTTTGAGGGGTGTTAATCCGGGATGCACACTGTCTCAACATGTTGTTTTACCTTCAAACTCCTTACATCTTAATTCATAATGTTTTGTACTTCCGCACATACGCTTACTATTTCGTTTTTTTTTGTGTGTGTGTGTGTGGGGGGGTTACATTGTGCAGTGCCAGAGATAGAAATTGGAGAACAGATTGTATATCTAGATCGAGAGAGAGAGAGAGAGAGAGAGAGAGACGGGAGAGAGAGAGAGAGAGAGAGAGAGAGAGAGAGAGTGTGTGAGAGAGAAATACAAAAAAGAGTAATTCATTTGACATTATCACCTAAAATCAAGTGGCTTTTACCATCAGCAAGTTACTGCACACACAAACAACTTTAACACGCACACACCAACAACAGGAACATCAACACGCACTGTCCCACACTCGTACGCACACAAACACGTGTATCAACATTCACCTACACACAACTTCAACACACACTTCCACAATCTCTGTCAAACACAAACACACACAGGGCCAAGTTTTTGTTTTATGATATTTTTTTGATTTAATCAATTCTAATGTGGTTGTTTTTTTTCTTTTTACTCTGTGATTTATGAATGCTTTGGCAACATTGTCTTTGTTACAGTCATACCAATCAAGCAAATTGAACTGAACTGGACTGAGAGAGAGAGACACGAGTAAGAGGCTCCAAAAATCTGCAGATGATCTAACTGATCTCACTATATATATATATAGATGTATACTGCACACACAAACAACTTTAAGACACACATACCAACAAGAACATTAACACCCACACACTCTCTCATACACACACGCTCGCACACAAATACAAACACACACTCACATACACACAACTTCAACACACACTCCCATAATCTCTGTCAAACACACACACACACACACACACAGGGCAAAGTTTGTGTTCTGATATTTTCTTGATTTTATGAATTCTAATGTGGTTGTTTTGTTTTTTGTTTTGTTTTGTTTTTCACTATTACTACTGTTTTTATGAATTCTTTGGCAATATTGCCTTTATTCCACTCATGCCAATAAAGCAAACTGAACTGAACTGAGAAAGAGTTCGAGTAGAGTAAGAGCCTCTGGAAATCTGAAAATGTGCAGCGGAAAGTAACAGCTGTACGCGAGCACGTTCTGTGCGTGTGCCATCACTTGCCCTGGATGACGCATCATTTCCTGTCTGAAGAAAGAGCGCAGGCGGTTAGTACAAAGCGTGTGCGCAAAAATGCTTTCACTTTCACTTCAAGGCTCCATTGATTCAGTCGAGGCGCCGCATTCAGCACAATAAAAAAAAAGAAAAGAAAGAAGAAAAGACGAAGTAGCAAAAAAAAAAAAGCAAGTGAGGGAAACAGGAAGACTATAGGAATTCCCGACATGGCGTTTAAGTATCCGGCTGCGAGAAGAGATGAGACAAAGGTCAGTTGTCCCGCTGAGTGCGTTTCTCTCTCTCTCTTTATCTTTCGGTGAAATTCTGTGGTTCAAGCAGGAAAAACGAGACCCGGAAGAGAAAGTCCGTCTGGGTGGAGGGTTAGAAAGGAAAATGGCGAATGAACGAAGAAACAAAAACAAAACTTTGCACCAAACCGAAAAAAAGTTATTCAGTGGGAATTCTTGCTGTACTAGTTACGGAAAGAAGCAACCTTTGCTCTTTTTTTTTCTTTCCAAATGTGTCGCATATGACTTTTAACCCTTCAGACACCACACACACACACACACACACACAGAAAACGATGTTGAAACGGTTTGCTCTTAACGATGCTCGTTCCGGGATTTTGGATTCAGCTGGTTTTCGTTGTGTCTCGCGGTTTGCGTTAGTTAAAGTTTCACTGACCACTGTTCCTCTGTTAATGCAGCATTCCCGTGTTTGGTGCATGCAGGGTTATAAGGACTTTACAAGTAGCCTCCTGAGTCACTATTTCCCAAATCCACCAGCACAACCCCAACCCCCTCAATACATTTTGATAAGGTGCTAAATAAAATATTTTATTCAGTTTACTATTAAAAAGAGAAGAGAAAAAAAAAAGAGAATTTTAGGCATTTGGAAATTACCATTAAACAACTGTATAGTTTGTTGCCAATTCATTTTCTCTTAATTAACATAATGTAATCATATTGAGTGATTGACTAATAATTTTGATGGTAATTTAATGAATTATTGAATATATTAATCCTCTAAAACTGTAAAATCACCAGAATGAGCCTTCAAAACCCACCATATGTCACTTCTGTGTTATTGTCAAATGTAAACTCCTCTTAAGGTACTTAAAGTCCACAAATGAGGACATGACCTCTGTGTCCTCAGTGGTAATCACGGCCCTGGGTGTATAGTTTTATTATGCCTCCAACTCAGTCCATCCATCTCACTCACATGAGTGAAATATCTCAGGAATGCCTTGAGGGAAATTCTTTAAATTTAACAGTTTCATCTACTCAACATCTCCTATCAATGGGCAAAATAGAAGAAACCTAACAAAGAGCAACAGAGTAAGGATCTCTTACCCAGGAAGGACAGGCATGCAGTCACATGTACAGAAATGACCAACATTACAGTAACCTATACAATCAAAATTACAAATATTTTGTAAATATATATGAAAATGAATCTGGGAGGACGAAGAACAATCATAGGTGTCACCAAACAGAACTGAGCCGCACAACCACCACTCCACCATTGAGACTGGAAGTGGACACACTACAAAGACTCACAAGAGCAAAGCTTCATTGTATAATGAGGGTGAGAAGGGTTATCCAAGATGGCTTTGTCCTCGTCCTCCTCCCAACCACTGCCTCTGCACTGTTCAGTTCCAACCTGATCACCTAGTTGGCCTTCCTTAACAGCTTGTTGAGACAGCTGAGCTCCGAGCCTTGATTCCACCACCTCAGCACACCACAGCAGAGAACAGAGCACAGGCCACTGCAGACGGAAAGTCTGCAGGAGCCTGTCGCTCACACTGAGGGATCCGAGTCTTGTGAGGAAGAACAGTCTGCCCTGTCCCTTCCTTAAGAGTGCTTCAGTGTTGAGTCCAGTTTAATTTAAACATGTATGTGCCACATCTCAAAGAAAGAATTCTAACTAATATCCCCTACCTATTATGAAAATGACCTAATCTCAAAAATTCTTACAATCTGATGAGGCATCTGTCATAAAAGTCACCGACTCATTTAATCCTGCAACAGATCATATTCCAGGGTAATTTTAGTTGCTCTAAGCCCTTTTTTTTGAATGCAGGGATATAATAACGTTTTCAACTGTTGACCCAGAATTTATAGACCTCCCTTGCAATAATATGTAAAAGTCCAAATTTTGGTTAAAAAAATAAAACAAATAAACTAGACACTCCCTATAGGTAAAACTACAGATACTTGCATTTCCCATGACAGGGATGAGCATATTCATCCACACAAGTGGAGACAAATGCCCTCTGAGGGCACACCTTGTTGACCTTGTAGGAACAAGAAGGTGTGTTAGAGCTCCACATCTATTGGTCAATCAAACTTTATTTATATAGGACGTTTCATACAGTTTAGTGCAGTTCAAAGTGCTTCAATGCGACAATGAAAAGACAGAATGGAGTAAAAAATAAAAAAGTTAGATTTAAGATAAAATGCAATGATAAAATGGCAATAAAATACAAGTATAACGATAGTTTTTAGTTAAAATTATACAAAAACAAAATATATAAATTAAGAAAGCAGGCAGAAATAACAAGCACATAAAACATATACATATGTGTGTGTGTGTGTGTGTGTGTGTGTGTATGTATGTATGTATGTATGTATGTATGTATGTTTTATATTTTTTTTTTTTATATATATATATATATATATATAAATAAATTAATGATTAATTAATAAAAGAAAAACTAAAGTCTGCCTTGGTCTACCGATCACATCCATGTTGGAAACAGAAATGCGTAAGATACCCCAGTAAAGAAGTGGTTGACAGCTGAAATGAAGAATTTGAGAACAGATTGTTAAAGGCTTCATATGTCTGGTGAAATGAAAGTAAATGTTTTAAATGTTCCCCATATTTGTATTGCTTTTCTTTCCCCAACATTGTCAATCCAAATATCAGGAATAACTGTCATGTTGAATCAACACATTTGACAAACAAATCAAGTGTGACGGATGTGTGTGTAACCACTTTGTTATGCCTTATTTAAATGATGCCAAGCTAAGGTGAAATTCTCTGGAATAGTAGTACAATGGAAATCGGTTGCAGCCTTTTATCATAATCCAAAGGTCCTTAAGGAATATCATTGTGCATTTGGCTGCACTTCAATCTCTAAATGAAAAATGTGGCTGGAATAATGTCTTAACTGCTAACATACTACAACAATTAATGATTAATGATGATGATGATTAATTGTCTTGGTAGATTGTTAATATCTAAACCCAATGATAAACATCAAGATGTCCACACATTTTTTTTAAGTTAATAGAAAACCACTGGAAAATTATCTTTCATTGTGATTACTGGAAACAAAAACCAGATCATTGAACAGGATTCGGTGTATTCCATTTGCATATGCACATCATTGTTTGTGCGTATATGTGTGTGTAGTAAGATCAAGTACAGTCTGCCCACTGGTGTAATGGTAGAACATTATTCATTCCAGCTCTGACAAGTTGTCAAGCAAATGATTAACCTTTGTCAGATGGAACAGGTACTCTTCCATAGAAACTTTTTGGAGGGAAGTATTGCGAAAGAGAGGCAGTTATTATTGCACCTGGATGTAATTTGTGATTGTTCCTGTTTAACTTGTGTATATATTTGCAATAGGTGGATGACTACCATGGGAGTAAGATCTGTGATCCCTACACATGGCTGGAGGACCCTGATAGTGCCGAAACAATGGTATGTGTTCATCCCTTGCAGAAAGCTGAAGCATTTCTTTTTTTTTTTTTTTACCAAAGACACTCTAAATTGAGTCCCTCCTCTCTCTCCTTTTGTATCCCAGGCCTTTGTTGAGGAGCAGAACAAGCTGACCATGCCATACCTGGAGCAGTGTGCTGTCCAGCCTCAGTTCCACCAGCGTCTCACTGAGCTCTATGACTACCCCAAATACAGCTGCCCTTACAAAAGAGGGAAGAGGTACTAGTTGAAGTTTAAAAGGATAGGTACTGCACAGACTGATGAACAACTGCACTCATGAGAGGGGGACCAACTTGGAGAACTGCAGATCTCCAAGAAAAAAACAAACTTGCTTATTGTCTTGTTATTTCCTGTTTTTATTTCCAGGTATTTCTACTTTCACAACAAAGGTCTCCAGAACCAGGATGTGCTATATGTGCAGGACTCTCTGGACGGACCTGCCACCATATTCTTTGACCCAAATAAACTCTCTGAGGATGGCACCGTGGCACTGAAAAGTAAGCCAAACTGCAGAGCACACATGCTGCATAACACATATATATATACGCAGAGAAGTAGATGCTTTAAGAACAAGACTTGCTGAATCCCTGTTCTTTTTTTGTCCCTCTCTAGTGGGCCGTCTGTCAGAGGAGTGTGAATATTTTGCGTATGGTTTGAGCAGCAGTGGTTCAGACTGGGTAACTGTGCGTTTCATGAAAGCTGATGACCTCACACCACTGCCTGATGTACTGGAGAGGGTTAAATTCAGCTGCTTGGCCTGGACTCACAATGCCAAAGGCGTCTTTTACAACTGCTATCCACGCCAGGAAGGCAAAACCGATGGTAAGGAAGAGTCACTAAACTCATGCTCCAACAAAGTAACAACACCTTTAACAAAAGCGGTCACCATGCAAAGACTATTGCAAACGTGTTCAAGACTTAACCCCTCTGTATTTCACTGAAGGCACAGAGACCACCTGCAACATCAATCAGAAGCTCTACTACCACGTCATCGGCACCAAACAGTCAGAGGACATTCTGGTTGCAGAGTTTCCCGAACATCCCAAGTGGCACAGTTCAGTAACCGTGAGTCTGTAACAATATTGATCCCTTATAATCACATTATTCGCACTGATAACTGCTCATAATAGTGAAGCTGAGTCATCGACATAACATTTTTAGAGCTTTAATTTCTTATGTTTTTTAAAATGATTAGTTATATGGCTCATTGGTTAGGGTGAGTGCACCACACCCATCAGTAGGCGTTGTGAGCAAACAAGACTTGTTATGGCATAATCATGCTCCTTTCTCTCTCTTCTTTCTCTTTCTTTGCTTTTTTCCTACCCCTCTCTCTCATTCCTTTATCTTGACAGATATCAGATGATGGCAGATATGCTGTTTTGGCCATCACTGAAGGATGTGAGCCTGTCAACCAGCTGTGGTACTGTGACCTTCAGCAACTCTCAGATGGCATCACAGGTCTGTATTTTGTGACAAACTTTTGACTAAACACCATAAACACAAACAAATCGCCTATTTTCTTGAGCAGTAGATCAAGATAACAGGTACAGAATGAATGTGTATCATATATTGCTGTTCGACTGATGTAAGACATGTAAACTAGGTTTTCAAACTCACCAAAAGTGATCAAAATTGGTGGTTGACAGCATCTATGGACACGTGTGTGTGTGTGTGTGTAATGGAAAATGTTTTTGTATAATAAAACATTATCGTGTGAAATGTCTGAGTGGAAAACAAATACATTCATCATCAACATAAATAATACAGAAAATTCTCTTATGACAAGCTTGAACCAGAGAATGTTGCTTATAAAATGACTGAATAAATGATTATTTCAATAGTTAGCAATAATTACAACTAATTTATTAGTCAGTGGACAAAAAATATGTAGTATTCTTACTGTAAGTTTACCAATGGCACAGGAGAACAAAATGACCTGTTAAGTTTGGGTCTTGTCACTGTCCTATTGTTATTGATATTTTTTCACTCTCAATATTTTCAACACATCCTGTTATGGGAGTGCTCTTTTATCAGTTCTGTTGAAATTAAGTGTCAAACTTGGATTCATTGGAAATATATTTTCATTTCTGGGGTCAGATTTTCAAGTGCCAAAGATAACAGCCTCGAGGTGCAAATTAACTGCTGCGTCAGTAGTAGTACTTGATGCCAGCAATGCCTGTGACTCAACAATTACTTCACCACTACTAGTTTAAAATCTTCCAACCGCACAGGACATTTATCCCTTTTTAGTGCAAGCCTACTGCAAAAGTGTGTTATAGGTCTTTGAAAGTCACCGTGATTCCGGTAGGTGGACAGGAAGGCATGGGGTGTTTGGTTTTCTGTTTTTTTTGTAACTAAGTATATTATTCATCTTCTCCTCCAGGCTTGCTGCCATGGGTCAAACTTGTGGACAACTTTGATGCCCAGTACTCGTATGTCACCAATGAGGGAACTGTATTCACATTCCGCTCCAACTTGGATGCTCCTCGGTACTGTCTCCTCAACATAGACATCCAGAAACCAGACAGGCAGCACTGGACTACCCTAATACCTCAGCATGACAAGGATGTCCTGGGTGAGACTGAATGGAAAATTTCAGAGACCAAACGGTAAAAGACAAAGTCAGCCATGTAGTCCACCTATACAGTATCAGTTCTCTATAGAATAAATGTAATACATCTGAATGATCACAGAGCAGTTTTTAAAACTGACCTTTGTTGGTATGACAGCTGTAGTCTTGTGTTAGAGCGTGGGAAAACTCCACAAGTCTTAGAAATACGTAAAGGGCTTATACGTGGAGTCGTAGTTCCACAATTCTGTCCTTAGAATATTGCCAAATACTTATTCGCTGTTTCGATGACAGTCCCGCCACAACAACTGGGAAGTTCTGTGTCTGTGGTCGAGGACTTCGTCAGAGGGAACTCTGCTCAAAAAGTGAAACTTGGCCCATAAGCACTTTGTTTAATTTTTTTTTTTTTTTTACTGTTGAGAGTCATTTGAATGACGGTAACTGTCCCTAGAGATCACTTAAACACTTTTCTGCTGAGACGTGCGCAAAACACATGGACCCATCATAGTGACAACATAGTACATAGTAATATTAATGTAAAATATGTCTTCATAGGAGGATTTATAATTGGTAACAAAAACTATACTTTAATATGAACTTAAAATGTCCTTATAGCTACAACTACATTATTGTGTGTTTATAAAGCATTTATTACATTTTTGTATACTACTTAAAAAGACTCAAGTAGTTGACAGTTACATCTGATTATATTCTATAGTTTTTAAAGATCTCCTTACTGTCAATATTATGTCCAATATCAATTCACCATTTTAACTCAAAGTTAGTCCTCATAGTGACGGTGGTGGTTGTGGGCATCAGGCTGTTGGGTGTAATGTCATTGAAGGTTTTTACAGTTAAGTAAAACTAAAAACTAAAACTAGGTGCTAAAAAACATGTTAGTTAACTGAAATAAAAACTAGACTAAATGATATTGTGTACTAAACTAAATACTAATTAAAACTAAATAAAATGTCTATAGGTTTAATCTTTGATAAATTTCGACAAATGTATCAAGACAGCAAGCATGAGAACGCACTGTTGCGCATATAAAATCTAATGAAAAATACAACTCCAATATAAACATATATATCAAATTTACTGATCAGTTTACTCTGTATTGTCCTTGACACCGCTCACACTCCAAGGCAAAATGCCTCTAATGGAATGGTTACTGTGTGTAATAAACAAGAGTAACCAAGTAACTTCTGTAGCACCACTGACATCTCATATTAGACTGCCCCCTGCTGTCTGTTGATGTAATGACATGTTACAGTGAATGGATATATAGTGCATACCTGTATTAACCTTTGCTCTCCCTATAAAGTAACATCTCAATTAATTGAACTGATCAATGCAGCCGGGTTCATTATGTTTGGCTTCATCCCAGCATCATGAAATTAGTTATTATTTGATAATTGAGATCAGATGAGAATGAGATTTAGCAGAGAGGAAGTTCACTTCGGTATTAACAAGAGAAACAAAGACGACCATTTCCTTTGGGTCCTGTGTTTGTTAATAACACCAGCTACACACTGTCATGCCCACTTTCCCTCACTTCCTTTTTTATATCCATCTGCAGGCTTTGTCTCTTGTGTGAACCAGCACCACCTGCTGGTCAACTATCTCCATGACGTGAAGGATATCCTACAAGTGTATGAGTTGTCTACAGGCCAGCTGGTCAGGGACTTGCCGCTGGACGTCGGCACAGTGGGCGGACTGAGCTGCAAGAAGAAACACTCTGACTTCTTCTATAAGTTCACCTCCTTCACTACACCAGGTAATTCTGTCTTCTCATAACTTGTGTTTTAGTTGTTTCATATTAGTAAAATTAATGATGTAAAATATAAATATAAAATACAATATTATAATGTCACTAATCCCATAACAACAATGTTATTTGTTTATTTATTTTAATAATTGTATTATATATCTTGTTTCTGCCGTCCAACAGTCCAAAACCCAAATATATTCAGTTTACTAATCATTGAAAATAGTAGGAAATTCTCATATTTGAGAAGCTGGAACCAGTTAATTTTTGGTATTTTTCCTTGACCAATTTGTTGCTACTGTAATGAAAACTTCTACTGCTTTAATTATACATCAGAAAATACCCAATAAGTCCCAACACAAAGGAAAGATCAAGCACTGCATAAAAATAGCCTGCTGTATATTATTGTAACTGTAGGTTGTGTCATTTAAAATGTAATTAGTATCTGTTACATCATCAAATTTTCTCATTCTATATTAGGTCAATGCCTTTTAAGATAACCCAAAACCAAGTAGAATCAAAATGTCTCCAGTCCTTTTATTTTCTAGTCTATATCTAGAAAAACTGACTATTTGAATGGTTTTGCTTATAGCCAATCACTGCAAGTGACCCACTACTGCAGCTTCAGGTAGCAGCTAACAGCTACATACAGTCAGAGGTTAAATACTAGGTATCGAACTATCAAATGAACTACTCTGTTGGTATCCTGGAATTGTAATTTTTAAATACCCAGCTCCACTAAATATGAAAAATACGTTTTTTATCTCCATGCAATTAGTTAAAACCCAGTAACCTCTAACCTGGGTGACTTTTTGTTCTGTGGTACCCAGGTATCATTTACCACTGTGATTTGGGTGAGTCAAACCCAGAGCCCAGAGTGTTCAGGGAGGTGGAGGTAAAAGGCATCAAGCAGGAGGACTATCAGACCACCCAGGTAATGTCCTTTCATTTTCCTATCTCCTCAGTTTCTGTGGACTCTATGTCTGCTCAAACTTCCCCATTTCTCTTTAGTCTTTGTACTGTCTTTCCCCTCATCTTTCACTTTATTCTGTTCCTGTTGTATCACATCTCCTGGTTGCATATTCATATTGTAACTCAGGTTTCCCAGAATTGCATTCACTACGGTCGAGGAAGTGGTAAATGGTGTGTGTGTGTGAACATCTCATTCTAGACTTCTAGAACAGAAATCATTTATGTGAAAGCTGTTTCATTTAATAGAAATTACATAAGATATGTTTTGTACAAGATAGATGTGTCAAAGGACAAACTGACTGATTTCATCTATCTTCTCTCATACATTCATAGGTTTTTTATCCCAGTAAAGATGGAACCAAGATCCCCATGTTCTTAGTTCACGCCAGGGGCCTAAAGAAGGACGGGACTCATCCTGTCTTCCTTTATGGCTATGGAGGCTTTGAGGCTTCCATACAACCATACTACAAGTAAGTAAAACTGCTCTGCCTGAAATCTCATCAACCAATGTGACCGCTCTCTTCTTTGTTATATGTTTTAGAAAGATACACATACATTATGATATGACGTTCACCAGTGAGGTTATAGAAGATTGGTGCGGTCTGATTGGATAGTACATGAGAGTGAGAGGATTGCTAGTTGTTGCCACTGTTTCCAACATACCAGCAATTGTCAGATACTTGAAAACAGTGATACAAATATAAGGGTCTACATTGTCTCTGTAAATGATAAGATGCTGGTGTAAATATATACATCAGCATTGTTTGAGAAGCACTGTATATACAGTATAGAGAGAATGAAAAAGAGGTCACTATATTGTTTATCCTTTTGCGTACCCTACACAACCGTCACAACTGCAGCACTGATGCTGATATGATTTTAATGTGTTTTTAAAGACTACATATGCATATATACCATTTCAAATTCTTTTTATGAAGCGATTGCATTTTTCCCATAACATTATTTGCACGCTTTATTTCCTCCTGTCTGTCTTTTCTGTGGACAGTGTTGCTTACCTGCTGTATGTGAGACACCTGGGAGGGATCCTGGCAGTGGCCAACATCAGAGGGGGCGGAGAGTATGGCCTCACCTGGCACAAAGGTACAGATGTGCAAGGAATGCACCCAGAAAAGCATGACAGTGTTAGTTAGAAAACATTAAACGTAAGTTTGCTATGGTCTAATTTTGTTGTATCATGTGATTGTAGCCGGTTCACTAAAGAACAAGCAGAATTGCTTTGACGACTTCCAGTGTGCAGCAGAGTATCTGATCCAGGAGAAGTACACCACAGCCAGCCGCATAGCTATCAATGGAGGCTCTAATGGAGGGCTGCTAGTGGGTAAGTACAGGTTCAACTGTGTGTGTTATGTCTTTATGTATGTAGTGTGAAAGCCCAGAGTAAGAGAACAAGAGAAAGTGAAAGGTTCATTAAAGGAAGCTATTATGCAACAGTACATTACGTGTTACATTAACTAGTTGAAATTGTGAAAATTGTGCTCTTCATTTTTTATAGTTGAAATCTGGTAATTGAGCTTTACCTCTACCTCCACCTAATTTTAACAACTCAGCTCCGTCTTCCTACGCAATTTAACCCTTGAGGCTTCTCACAATATATATATAGTATACAGCACATCTCTATGTTTTTACAGATCACTGGTCCATCGCTAGTCTTGATCACAATGCTTTGTATTCTTTATATTACATCTTTGGCTTAAACGCTAATGTCAAATTCATCTAACAGTAGTTAGCTGCTTAGCTTCAATTAATTTAGCAATTAAACAACACATTAAACAGTGCTTAGTCACATCATTTACCAACGGCTGGCTGCCATATGGCATCACAAAAACCCAACTAATGCCTTCTTCCCTGGTGTGTAAGTGGCTATTTAGGAGTGATTGTGTGCCACAGTGTGAAGTAAAAAGGGATGTGTGTTTGAGTGTGTGTATTTGTAAGCAAATAGAATCTGTAACACTGACTCTTAAATACACGCACAGCGGCATGTGTGAACCAGCGTCCAGACCTGTTCGGCTGTGCTGTGGCAGAGGTGGGGGTGATGGATATGCTGAAGTTCCACAAATTCACCATCGGCCACGCCTGGACCACCGACTACGGCTGTTCTGACGACCCGGAGCAGTTCAAGTGGCTCGTCAAGTACGACAAACACAAACACAACAGATCACTAAACTATACTTGCGCATGAGAATACGTTATAGTTACTGCTCACATCTTCATGTCTCGCTGCAGTCAGGATTTATCAGGCCAAGCAGTCTCATTAAGATTAGTTCAGACATTTTTACAAACAGTAAGTGTGTGATAAAAAATCATTAAAGAAACTGTCCAAAAATGGCAAGCAAACAGTAAAATAGTGCACTAATCCATAAATGAGTTTATCCAAGTTTCTGTGAAGAGCTACCACTCCCCTGAGGTTCACCTCCCCTTCAGCTCTCTGCAAAGTTTACAGTCCCCATTGCCCTCATTTCTCTGTCCATCATCTCACCCAACATAGCATTGCATTTCTTTGACTTTTCTGCTCCGATAGCAGCATAGATCAGCAACACAAACAGTTTTTGATGGATGTCTCTTTCTGTTTTGGTATAGTCACACATGAGAATTTGTCTTCCCGCTGGATTTTTAGGTGTTGTCTAGCAGCGCATCTCTATTCATTGCCGTCAATGTGTGTTGTCCTTTGTGTTTACTCAGTTGTTTAGTATTTTCTACTGTCTGAATCTCAGGACTTAAAGCATCCGTGAATGATGGTGTAAATAGTTATTATGTGTCGGGTGTTTAGTCTTTGCTGGTTTCAGTAATCTCGAGGTCTGTTCCCAGCTTTACACTCACCCACATGCACCAAAAAGTCACAGCAGAGCAACTGAATCACACATTAAAGTTCAGGACTCACTCCCATTACTCTCTTCTCTCTAATAGGGTTTCCTCACATTATTCCTTCCAACCGTCTTTCTCACATTCTCTCCAGGTATTCTCCTCTCCATAATCTGCCTCCGCCACCTTACTCTGGCCCTCCCTACCCTGCCATCCTGCTTCTGACAGCAGATCACGATGATCGTGTGGTGCCTCTCCACACCCTTAAGTACTGTGCTGCCTTGCAGCACGGAGTGGGTAGCAGCCCTGTGCAGCGTCAGCCTCTGATGGTCAGGGTGGACACCCGTAGTGGGCACGGTGCAGGGAAACCCACCGCCAAGGCCATCTTGGAGGACACGCACATCTATTCCTTCATCGCTGAGACACTTGGGCTTAGCTGGAAGGATTGAGGAGATAATGACAGTGAAGGCCAGTAAAGGATATACACACAATGGCTTTTTAAGGGATGAATGCTTTCTTCATTTTTAACAGTTTAATCAAAGACAAAAGAGTGTACTGGTACAACTAAAGTGAACGGTTAGAGAATGATTAAGAAAAAGAATAACAAACTGTGTGGTAAAAATCATCATCATAATCAATACTCATCATAATGCCTGAAATGACTCTTAATTGTAGATTATCTTAACCAATCAAATGCACTAAAAGATTCTGAACTTGTTTTCATACTGTAAGTTTGGAATTGAAGTATTTCAATAAAATCTCTCTTTGTACAATGATTTCTGTCTGTTATAATCCCTAATCCAAAAATTGTCCTCAATAGTAGATCTAATTAGAACTGAATTGTTCAGCACAACTGGATGCTGTCCATGTACTGCAGTGTCCCCTGTTTGAATATGTTCAGGGACTTTAGTTGCATGTCGTTCCCCACCTCTTTTTCCCCAGTTACTGTCATGTTTCAACTTTCAAGTAATGAAGGAATAAAATGCAGCATAGGCAGCATTTTATTGTTGCTGCTGGTTGAGGTAGAGCAAATTTCAACTGCTTTCCGTACAGCCAGGTGGGTAATCCGAAGTAATGCTTAATCGACATTTTGGGAAACACTCATTCTCTTTCTTGTAGAGAGTTAGATGAGAAGATAAAGACCACTTTTGTGTCAAATGTCAAAGGCAAATATGACACTACAATGAGGAAGTGATAAGTTTAGCTTGGATCGCAGCTTGTCCGTCTGAAGGTAACAGAATCTGCCTACTAGCACAAAAAGGACAAGTTTCCTTTTATTACTTTAAGATGATCATATATTGTGTATATAAAGTCTGCAAAATTGAATAAATTAGTAGGAGTAAAAAGTATAATAGTTTCATTTTAAAATGTAGTATGAATAGCATACAATTTATAAACCATAAATAAATAAGTAAAGTACCTTAAAACATACATACATTGCTTGAATAAATGTACTTAGTTGCTTTCCACTGCTGTTTAGAGCACAACAGTGATTAATGTAGAGTGCAGTTTTCACATATTCCACCAAGTGGCAGTATCGGATTACAAAACCCCCCCTTGGTTGACCCTCCACAAACACCTCAAGGTCAAAGGCTGGGTGTCAGTTTAGTGGCATTATGCTTGGCTGCTTCATTGAAAGGGATTGTGGAGTAAAAAAAAAAAAAACCCAAAACAGCAGGATGCACTAAATCCTTTATATCGTCTATAAACCCGTCTATAGGAGGGAAAATCACTGACGGAGACAAGTAGGATACATCTGTATAAAACAGTGGACGTGGAACACACAAGAATGAGAACTTATATAAGGGAGATGGACTGGTGCAGTTGTCAAGGGAGACAGAGGAGAGAGAGAAAGATGTGTGGAGATCTTCAAAGAATGCACAGAAAAAGTTGAGGGAGTGAGAGTGATGATGGACGGCAGATATATGGCGAGACAGCGAAAGGCAACATGCACACAAGCAGAGAGAGACTGAAAGTGCACTTATGGAGAGTCTCGGGAGGCACACAGACAGACGGGTGTTTAAACTGTCAAAAAAAAAAAGAGAGAGATGGAAACTCTCAGCCAGCCTCCAGTCTGCCAGCCAACCACAGAGACTGAGAGAAGTTGTCCGTTCGGTCACTCAGAGTTTAATCTCTGCTCAGTGGGAAGTTCTGATTTCGTCAGACTGAACCCGGGGCCTTATCTAAGTACCCTCTTGGTGGATAGATAGGATGGGAAAAGGAGAGAGGAAAGCAGAGAAGGCTGCAGGAGGAGGATTTGCACACAATGACTCTTTGCCTCAGGGGCAAAGTGGTTGAATGAAGCTGGGAAAAGACAAAGCCAGTAATAAGCTGGACATATGAGAGACAGAGAGAGAGAGGGGGGGTTTAAGATCATGCAGTAAAGAGGCTGTGACACTCTTCTCCCAGGAGTGTCCCAGAGGATTGGGCAAGCTTTTGCTGCTTCATTTGCTTCATCCCCCCCCCAAAGCCCACCCCCCGGTCACTTCCTGAGCTCACTCTTCCTTCTGTCTGTACACGCATGTTCACACTAGTACAAGCGCACACATCTGTTTTCCTCTGGAGAAACACAAGCTTTTACCTACAAAAGCCTCACCGTCTCACACTCGCAGGTCCCCATCCTGTCCTCCGTTTGTTTACTTTACTCCCTCCATAATGCAGGGATTAATTTCTCAAAGCCGATTTGAGCTGCGGCACGCTTCGGCAAAGAGCGGAGAGCAGAACTTTTGTGTCGGGGGAAGTTTCCCCTTCACACTAGCTTAGAGGTGGACTGCTCTCCCCTTTATGCCGCTTGCTTTAATCTTCACACGGAGCGGAGGGAGCGAGGGATGGAGGGAGGACAAGAAGGGGAGAGGGCTCTCAACACGCAGCTGGGAATCACTAATGTCTTTACAGAGGTGTCGTCTGCTTTCTCATGTGCCTCTTTGAATCCTTTTGCCTTTTCTGCTACCTCTCTGGCATTTCTTCCTCTTACATTTCTGGACATGTTTATGTCTTTTCTTTTCCAACTGCAAATGTTTCTTCCATGATAAGCTTGTATCTTTTATTATAAGTGTGTATCTTATAGTGATAATGTAGATCAGAATGTTTGGTTTGGGTAAAAAGTGAGTGAAAACTGATTTATTGTTTTGTTTACAAAATGTTAGAAAATAGGGGAAAATGCTCATTACAGGTTCTTAGAACCAATGGTGACATTTTTAAATTGCATGTTTTGTCCAACCAGCAGTTCAAAACTAATATGTCTTTAATTCAAGGGAGAAAAGTGGCAAATCCCGATTGTAGAAGCGAGAAGCTTCAAATATGAGCTGCAGCTAATGATTATTTCTATTATTAATAATTTTATAAATAGTTTTTCAATGAATCCTCTTCAGATGTGTTGTAATTGACTCATAGGTTGAATTATTTAGGGGGGGGTTAGGGTTAGAAACTGTTGGTTGGTAGAGATCCATTTTTTATGTTGTGCGACTAATTAATTTATCAACTGATCGTTTCAGTTCCACCCCAGAATTTGGGCATTTTTGCTGATTATTGAAATTATTGGTGATGTTAGGCTCACTGTAGTTTTTTAATATTTCTTTCTGAAGTTTAATTCTAAAAGGAAATCTACTTGATGAATTACTTACACCTAGCCGGAATCATATTTAGTGTATTTTAATTTCCTCTAAGTTATTCGAAGGCCTTAAACGTGTCTTGAGTGTAGTCTTTGAGGGTGTTTTGAGAAAGTGATGGTTTTTAGGTACAACAATCCATATTCCAACAATCCAGCGCGATTTGCTTTAATCTCTTGGAAGAATCCTTACCCGTCTCCCCATCCCAGTCTCATTTACAGTGAATAAACAGGCAAATCTGATTGAAGATTTACGCTCAAACCGTGAGAAGCCTGATAAAATACCAAGTAACACAAACCCCCCTCGCCGCTGAGGAGAGTTACTGTGGGATATGATGTTTGCATACTAAAACATCACACTCAAATGAATAACATTTATCAAATTGTACCGCAAGGGAAATTGACCCAGAGCAGTCAGGAGTCAAGTGTCAGGGCTATTAGAATTTCATAATTTATATTATGTAGATAAGCGACATATTTTCACAGCTATATTTTTGATACAATTTTACATTTAATTTCTATCTTATAAATTAATGCGTAAAACATTTCTTTAGAGACACTAGTTACATTCTGGATGTTCCTGTCTCTTAGACAGAATCTTAATGAACCTGCTGTGTAAATAAGCTTTTTTTGTGTCTTCATCACATTATATCTTGAACGCGAGAAAGAAATCTATGAAAAGCCTCCGATAATGAATGATCCAAATCTAGTGTTGTTGCAGCGGGAGTTCAGATGCTAAGGTCTGCTAAGCAGCATCTGAAGGAGGTGATGTTTGATTGCGTGGGAGGTTTAGAAAGCTGCAGCCAGCGATGGCTCAGAGATGAAACTCATTAAGTCTCAAACTCCAATCCTCAACTCCAATAAGACTGTAATATAAAAAGTATGGATTGCTGCTGCAACTGTACGAGATAAATAAAAAGATCTCATTCTCAAATGTATGCCCATGGACTGCCAACAGACATACAGAGCGTGCACAATATTATGCGCACACACTGACCCATGCAAGCGGAGGCACGTACCAGCACACTCACTTCTACCCACCCACACAGTTGCCCACAGCAATCCCACGCAAAGTCCATTTGCATTTACAATCATTTCCCATATGCTCAGTGATAGTATAAAGGTGGGTGTTGTGTAATAAAACAGTAAGTAATATAACCTCAGTCCCGGAGAGAGAGACTTAATGAGTTCACATGGTAGAGAATAAGAGTAAGAGAAAACCACGAACCACCAGGAGTAGGCTAGGAGAGCTAACCGAAAGTTGAATTCTGTTGTAAGTGGATACAGGGCTTTAACTTCATAGCACATAGATACGTAAGTACAAGAGGCCCAGGTAGCCTTACAGTTAGAGGAATGAGTGAGCTCTAAAGGGCCGTCGGTTCATTCCTTTGCATCAGAAGTTAAATAGTAAATGGATAATTGGGGTTTTACCAGTTAGACCTAATTCCTAAATGATAAAAAAAAAAAAAAACACCAAAACATTTACTTACTTAACTGTTGTTTACCTTTACCAGAGTTTGATATAGTAAAAATGTCTGCTGGCACTTCATGGTGAGGTCTGTATAGTGTTGAAAATGAATGTTATGTTTATATTCAGTGTTTCTCACCAATAATCCATGTATCTGTGAGGTCTAACAACTGTGTTGAGTACATTTCCTCCCTCATTAAACATTTGCAATGCTATAATTTTCATATATTAACATACATGTTTATTAGCTAGTAGTCTTTGTTGTCAACATTTGAATCGCACAAAACCAACAGGTATCAGTTATCGACTGTAACACTGTGGTCAGTGTTTAGGTATATTGCAAATCATTTTCATATAATTACTGCTTCTATCGGAGAATGTGTAAGTAAGAATGCCACAAAAGAAGCACGTAAAAAGTATTATAATTTGACTTTTTATTTGAACTGTAATGTTATGTGTGATATAAACCTTACATATATATTGAGTGATCCTAACCTATTGCAGATATGTTGCCATAAGTGTATATGTTGGGCAAAAATAACAGGAAATGTCAGTATAGACTGAAGTGCCAAAATATGAAGTAATTTAGAAACAATGTTGTGATTATATAGTTTGTCCACCAGAGGGCACTGACAAGTTTAATTCCCAATTGTAAAATGTCAGTTGCTCTTTTGGTTACAATTATTGAAAAAAGGTAAATATAATTCATTATAATTATTATATAATATATTTTTTAAACTCTCAAATATCAACATTGGCCTAAAAAAATCCAGATTACATCAAATCCCAAAATGGAAGACGAGGAGAAAAAACATTTGCTTGTATTGGAGATTTTTTAATAACACGTTTCAATATTGCAACAGCCATCAGATTTTCTTCTAACAGGTAAAAATCATCAAAAAACAAAAAAAAAAAAAGAAACTTTTTTTTTTCAGTTTTATATTCCAAACACCAGAGTTTCTTGGCTATGGCCCTAAAATTCAAACAAATAAAACCCTTACACAGTGAGCAGATATTATATTCAACACATTGTTCTTCAAACAAATTATAAAAATAGATTTAGCATTTTCAAATACATATGTACAGTATTAAACATATATCATGATGGTCACAGTAACAGAAAGGGGGATAGAGAGGGCAAACAAATAAGAGTTTTAATTCATCATGGCGACAAGGTCCAGTTTGTTGAGTGTTAGCGACTGCACGTGTGTGTCTTTGTAGTCTTGTGTGTGCGTAGTGTGTGTGTATTAAAAGGGACTATCAGTGTTTCTCCAGATATCTTAACATGTGCGTGATAACATCTATAAGGACATATGAGCTCATTTCATTTGACAAAACGGTTACAGAGAGGAGAGTACAAGGAGAAAGACCAAAAAAAAAAAAATCTATTTGTACCAAATACAAACCAGTTACAATATTCCAGTTAAAAATGTATGTAGCTTCTATTGTGAAACTGTATGATAATCAGGTAATGCCCCAATAAACTTCTTCCTTCAAGTCTTCTGTATTGAAATAGGACAGAAAAGGCGAGGGGCAGATCACTGTACAAAGAGAATTCTGGGAGTTAACTGGAAAAAAGTGCAACCACATAGCATGGCAGAGCATGATATTAACAGCAACACAAAATTAATGATAATCCAACAGCTACAAAGAAATAGAAAGTTCATATGACATTCTGTAATACTGTATCCATACTGCCACACACACACACACACACACACTGTAATGTATACAGCAAATCCAATGATAATGGAATGATAATGGACATAAAATTAACTGTATCAAATCCAGTGTTCAAGAATACACAGATACTGTGTGCTGACAGTAAAAATCATCCAGTGTTCCTCTCACTTCCTGTGTACAAAACAACTCATCTGTTCAGGTATAAACTCATAGTCATATAATAAAGCAACAAAACAAGAGGCTACAACTGCTTTTCTCAACTTGTTTTTTAAAAATACTAATTAAATAAATAAGCCTTCCCTAACCTCTTTTCTTGAGAGCTTTGTGTTACAGTCTGTAAACATAAATAAATATGGATAAATATCTGAATCAGGCCATCTTCCAGAGTTGGCCCGTGCTCTATACAGAGTATTAAACACGGCAGTGAGAGAGGCTTTGGAGAGGAGGATTATGTTACCGAGATGACATCCAGCAGGCTAAAAGGGAAAATTAGATGCTTTAAATGCACAAAGAAAACAACTTCAAAGCATAGAAGGGAAGAGGGAGATAAAGGAAATGAATAAAATAGAATCGAGAGTAGCGAAACAGACAGCGACATACAACAAATTAATTAACAATCAAACACACATGTTCAACCTTTCGCTTTACAGTTGTATCCTGCAGCTTTTGTTTAACCCCAAAGGAAAAAAAAGCAGGCTGATGTTACTGAAACTACAGTATAATCATCACCCATAACTTACTGTAGCTCTTTTCATCCCATCAGCACACCTAATATACTGAATATAGGACTATACTGTATGCTTTTGAGGCCTCATCCAACTCTTCTAACCTCAGACTCACTGGACCCTCGACATGGGACAGCACAGTCTCCTTAAGCTGCTGCTCTAAAACCAAACGTTACATTCCAGCCATGTTTAATCTCCAGAAATGTTCCTTTACCTTCTGATATGAGATCATCACCATCGAACATCACCTCCTGTTTCATGTGAAATTAGCTGTGCCAGTTCTGAGAAGAGAGTAAAATGATCCAAGGCCAGTAAAATAGTTCCTAGCTTTAACAATATATTGTTCTTAGTGAATCGGTGTTGTGGTAAAGGGAGATTCTACTCAAAATTTTAATGTTTCTTTGAGCGCTCGTCCATAACCGTGTTTGCAGCGCAGTACATCTTTGCGTCTGCTGCTGCTCAGAGGTCAGCTTCAGACAGAGCCTGTCCTGCTACAGACAATATTTCATTAGTCTTTTACTCACTAATCCAGAACCAGTGAGAAGGAGCTGACACAGTTATTGAAGGTCAAAGTGCAGGATGAGGTCACAAAAAAAAAGTCACGTGACATCACTCCTCTGCTTTCCCCCAATCACGACAGGAACGCCGCCTGTCTCTGAAGGAACTGTTAGAAAAAAGGAAGTAAGGAATAGAGGAAGGCATGAGGAAGTGTGGGAAGGAGGAGTAGATAGAGGAGTGCAGTTAGCTGAAAGTTCTGCTCATCTTTCCATCAGTTTGGGAGAGCTCTCTCTTTCTCTCCCTCTCTCCTCTTCTCCACCCCATCATCCATCTGCACATATGTCTGGGTCGCAGCAGCAGTGTGAGACTGGGTGTGTTGACTTGTTTGTTAGACCTGGACGCCACGCCCGTGCATTTGGATGACCTGGGCTCTGAGGGTCTGGATTGCAGCCAGTATCAGCTTCTGGTGCTCAAGGGAAGTGATGCCAAGGCTCAGCACATCTCTGTGGACACAGAGATCAAGATTTACCAAGATTATTAAAAAAAAATGCAACATTTATTGGACTGTATGTCAATGGCTGGGTTGAGTGACTCTATGACCACAGAGAAAAATGTGTTTCTAATAATCATATGCTCACGCTTATGTTTTAAAGCCACTGAAAAGCTCCCTTTTAAGTATTTCTCTATAACATTAAATATTCATTACTTTATCACTCAAAAACTCAGTTTATCTCTTAATTTGGACTATATAGGATGTGGTTGGATCAAACTATCATTATCATGTTAAAAAATTGCCAAAACCTCACTGGTCCTCATTATTATTATCACGTGAGCCCTGCCCACAATAACATACATTTCTATGGTAAAAATGATACGTTCATTAAAAACAACTAAGCAAAAAGCAGAAATGCTCAAAATTAAAAAGCTAGAACCAGAGAATATTTGGGATTTTTGCTTAAAAAAACCACCTTAATTAATCGATCGTCAGAATAGTTTTTTGTCTAATAACTAATCAGTTCTGATTCATCCATTTTTACCCATTTAGATTTCACTCAAGACTTTTTTCAGTTGTGCAAATATTATCTTTAATGGTAAAGATTTAAAAAAGCAATTAATTTCAAGAAATAGAGTAGACATTATTCCCAAAGTCATTTATTTATTTATGCAGCTATCTTTTTAATGATCTGTTCTCTTATTATCTCACTTAGCCGCCCTCTCTAAAAGAGGAAATGAAAGGTCACTGAGACAGAGTTGTGTAAAACCACTCACTGTACAGTCATTCGGGCCACAGACTCCAGGTAGCAGTATCCTGCGGCGGTGAAGTTGTCCTTGTATCGGCCCATGTCCACTGCATCCAGCCACTCTCCCACTGAGTTAAAGGATGGGAAGGAGGGGAGAGGCCTCTCTGCTAGCGTAATGGATGAACTCAGGGTTCTACAGGACAAGAAATAGGGTTGAAGGCGTGGAGAAAAAAAACTTTGTGGAAATAATATATACAGCCATCCGTATTACCAGACCATACCTGCGTGCCAGTGTGGAGGAACCAATGCCATCGGGAGAGCGAATGCTCTTGCTGAGGGCTGAGTGGATCTGGCTGAAGGTGGGCCTCTCTGTCCTCTCCTTCTGCCAGCAGTCCAGCATCAGCTGATGGAGATGTGGAGGGCAGTTAACTGGAGCCGGCAGCCTGAAACCATCCTCGATGGCTTTGATCACCTACGGGACGTGCAGAAGACGGAAAACAATTATATCAGGTTAGAGACTCTAGAATTAGTGTTGTGATTTACCAGTATTTGTACTATAATTGGACACATATTCAAAAGAGCATGTTTGTGACTGGTAGGGCAAGATGGGGGAACTAAGTAAGAATGTAAAAAGGTTTTGTCCTACTTAAAAAGTTGAGTAAGGTATTTAAAAGTTGCTTAGTTGCCAGGAATAGAAGCGGTTGGACTGTATAGGTCCTACTTGGATAAATAAAAGTAGAAAAGTGCTGCTGCTCTCATTTTCTCTTGTCAGTAATTACACCACCTATAATGTTCCAATGCATTGTTTCGCTGTTTATTAGTCATTTAAGTTATTTTTAAGGCAGCATCCTTTAAGGTCACCAAGCTAGCATCAACTGCAAAACAAACAGAATGTCACAGAGACTTATTGCTACGCTAAACAATATGAGCGGACTACAAATCTGCGGTAATGTCTAAAATTACTACAAAAAACTAGAACCATACAGAAAATGGGTGACTATTATTAGAAAGAGACGTTATTCCTGCAAAACCTGAACAATGCAAAATCCGTCACAACTGACTTACTTTGAATGTGGTCTGAAAGGTCACTAGACAGGATATTCAATGTCTCTTAGTGTCACTTCACAGGATATTTGATTGGGTATCACAATAGTTGGGCTCCTATCTGCAGAAAACTGGATTATATATTATAACATTTTAATTTCCTATAATACAATATGTTCTAGGCCTGTGAATAAAAACAATCCAGACAGGTTTGAAATAGGAGAGCAATTACAGAGATGAAAAAAACAGACCACAAGAGCCAGTGTTTTCTTGTACCTGACCCACTCTAAAAGATAAGCTACTAAATGCAATGATCCATCTCAACTCAGCATTTTTCATCCATTCCAGTGAAACCTCGCTGTCTTCAAATAGCAGAGCATGAAAGCCTCCCTCCACTTCCTCAAATGTTCCTCGCTCCTCCATCAAACTAATTTCGCCCCCGTCCACCACAACACCTCACGAGATTTCCTCTCAGTATATCAAGGGACATGCGATACGTCCTCCTCCTGAATCACTCTAAGAAATACAATCTCCTGAAAGGAGGAAATAAAGTCCGAGCATAATCACAAAGATGACATCCATCAGTGGCATTATTTCCTAAAACACTCTCTTCTCTCTACCTAACCACCCACCTCCCCACTCCACCATCCTCTCAGCCCCTTAAGCTCCTATCTCACTAAAGAGCATTCATAAAATGCTTTTCAGCATTTGACATTTTCCATTTAATCAAAGTCGGTAGGTAAAGGTCACGACGGATCACAGGTGGACAGGCGGACCAACAATTCTGTTATGATATAATGTATCAATTTAAAGTGGATTAATATCCCTGGCGCTCTACAAGCTTGACCTTTGCCCTCTCAATTGGAAAGTTTGATAATATAAACCAGGCTGAGAGGAAACTTTCTCCTGCTTTGTGAAAGGGCAAAAAAAAAAAAAGACACTGTAAAAAGCTAGCTTTTCTTATGCTGCTGAATAACTCATGCATATTAATTTTGGACATTCAAAAATGGAACATGCTAATAATCCGTTGCTTTTTAACTATGCACCTGCCTGCATAAAGTGTAGGTATTATTTTACTATGACAGTAATTTGAGAGGGCATTAGCATGATTAAGCTTTTGGACTTGATGAACGATAATAATTCTTGAAATTATCATTATCTTCTCATACTTTGTGTTGTCGGCTTCAAATAAAAAGAAAAATAGTCCCAAAGAATAATCTGCTCTCTGGCCTGTCTCTGAGCAGACTTGCATCATGCTTTCAGCTGCACTTTAGAAGCATGACTTCCTTCCGAAAGTAGAATAAAAACAACCTTTTTTTTAGAAGGACAAAGAGGTAGGAGTGACGAGAGCAAAACAGAGCACCCACCCACATTGACTTGGAAATTATAGGTCTGTAGTGACAAGCGGCAGGGTCCTATCGACTGGACAATCTTCAACCCTCAAATAGCAGCAAGCGCTTTACATTTCCTCAAAGAATTTTTCCAGAGGGATTTTTAACACTTTTAAGAGCAAGATGGCACCCGGGGACAGGAGGAGGCCACTAGAAGGGGGTCAATGCGTCCTTAAGAGAAAACAGGATTGGTCATGGAGCTGATGCAGACTTAAAGAGGGGGACTTAGGCCCTGCAAAAGCTTTCAGAGGTACTATGGCTTCTTGGCTTTCTTTTAATAAGATCCAAGCTGGGCATGGATACAGAGTTCATTGATAGAGGGAGGTGAAAGAGAGAGAGAGAGAGAGAGACTGGTAAAGGAATATAAAGGAAATGACTGGAGAGATTAATGGAAAGCACCCTCCTATCTCACACACACACTTACATCCTGGTTGCCCATATCCCAGTAGGGTCTCTCTCCATAGGACATGACCTCCCACATGACAATGCCGAAGCTCCAGACATCTGAGGCTGAGGAGAAGCGATGGTACTGGATGGCCTCCGGAGCAGTCCACAGCACCACACTCTTCCCTCCGTGCTGCAGGAGAGGAGCCGGAGAGGTAAGACACAGGAGTAAAAGGGTGTGGAGAGTTCACAAAAGTAACGCTTTAATATTCTCTTTGAAAAGCTTTGAACATATTTTCAGTAGATCAAAAGAATCTTTAGAGGAGCAGGTTCACCTTGAGTGGAACCAAAAAATATCCAGGGAAATAAAGCAGCTGAAATATTTTTTCTGTGACAGCTTAATTATATGACCTCAACTGAACCCGACATGACATGTGTTAACTCTCATTTGGTCCAAGGCTCATTAAAAATATCACCCTTACATGTGTCAACTTCCTACCAACGGGCTTTGTGCTGCTTTTGAGGGTCATTCATTAGGAATGGAATGTAAAATATCCAGTAAAATCCAGTTGACGTTTTAACTGCGGTTTTCTCTCACCAGTGTGGTGTAGATAGCCTCGATCTTGTCCTCCTGAAGAGGTCTAAAGCCAGATACCTTGCAGCCTAGGTTGGAGTTAACCAGCACCTGAGAGTGGGAAAACAAACTGATTAGCATTGGTTACATTCGGGGGGGAAACAATCTCAGTGTGAGAGCTCACCACCCTGATGGGCAAAGCTCCCATTGCACCAGGGACTGATTGATTGTTTACAAGAACAAATGGTCCTGTTCTTCATTTTCCGCAACATGACCACTGCATTTTGCAGTTTGACAGACAGGCTCTTTTAGGAAAATGCCAAACAATGAAATCTGGATGTGACAAAACAATTTGGACAGTATGGTCTCGTCATTTTCAGCTGTGTGTATCACTCCAAGAAAGAAGAAAAACCTGCCGGCAGGTGATTGTCAAAGACGTCTGCAGACAAGAACAAATTGTATTTTGTAACCCACCTGTGGAAACTTGCAAAAGCTTGAGACATACATCACCCTACACCCTCTCCTTTATCATCCGCTCCCACCTGCTCCCTTACCTTGTGTGCGGCCAGCCGTTTGTGGACGAAGCCCATTTCAGTGAGGTACTTCATCCCCGATGCCACCCCAGTCAGCATATCCATCAGCTGCATTACACTCAACTGGCCCTCGTGTTTCTGAGGTTAGGGGAAATAAGGAAAAAAAGAAGATGGAAAATGAGAAAAAAAGCAAAGAAGAACAGGGAGGGGGGGAATAAAAAGTAAAGGATAGTAGAGAGGAGAGGATGAGTGTACATAGTATGCATGTAGTGATCCAAAAAAACTGCGACACATCTGTTACTATAGTACAATGTTGTGCTCACTGAGCTGAATCCCTTTATTTGGAGAATAAAAACAAACAGGCCATTAATTCATATCATTATAAACCATGCTGCAGTGGTTCACAGAGCAGAGGGGCACAATAACAGTTTACACACGCTTACAGCATCTTTAAGCAGAAAACACTCCATTTGTGGAGTTAATTATGTTACATTTTCCTTATTACTGTAATAAGCACAAGTATTGCCGCCCTAGGACTGCGCAATAATAACAGTAAATTTAGGTTTATTAGAATAAAATACCTAATGGCTCAAAAACAGACAAGATTGATGAGGCTTAAATTGTGTTATTAGATGATGAGAAAACATGTCTGCATGTACATTTCAGATGAATGCATACAGATAAAGACAAAAAAAAACGTACCCTAAGGAAGGAATCTAAGGCTCCGTTAGACATGCTCTCCACTATGATCATCATGGTGTTACCTGGTGAAAGACAAAGAGAGCAGGACAGCAGAGTATACGATTAAATGAAATTGCAGATTAAAATGAATAAAATGGAGAGAATCGAGGGGAAAAAGGAAAGTGAGAGGTAATAGAGACAGAGACGGGGGAGGGTGAGAGAGAATAAAGTGAGTCTAGTCCACTTGGCAGCACGGCAGGCATTGTGCAAAGCCATTCCTCACCCAGTGAACTGTGGTGAAGTCAGGAGAACCTGTGTGCTGCCCTGGCTGTCTCAGCAAGTTTAACGACCCACAAACACTCACTCACACACGCACACACGTGCACACACACACACACACACACACACGGATCAGTACAGTCCAGGTATGCACTTTCATATACACTACACACATGCATGCTCACACATACACACTGTGCCCAGGCACAGATGGCAGGGATCCAGCAGAGCTATGAAGTGCACAGAGGAGGAAAATAAGACTGCAGCAGTTGGAGGAGAGAGGAAAGAAGAAGTGGATTATGGGAGGTTGAGACAGTTAGATGAACCTTGATAGATATGTAAACAATTTAATATCTAAAAAAAATAAAAACCCTGGTATTGTAATATCCACAATTCGTGGTTTGCCAGTATTACTGGGCTTTCAGGAAACTATTTGGAAAGGTGACCAACAACACTCAGCACAGAGACACATAAAATGTGTCATAAAATGCCAGCAATCATGTAATTAATGCGAGTTGGAGAGTGAATGTTGAATTCTATCATTTGTGTCAAATGGTTACCTGCTAAAGAGGATGTCACATAAGTTTGCAAATCCTGACAGAAATGCAGAGCGAGGAAAAACTGTGTGTGTGTGTGACAGAGTGAAAGAGAGAAGGGGGTGGGAGGGCGGAGTAATAAGTGCTCTCTCCTGCTGCACACAAACACAAATTCATCCAGTCATAGGCACTTCTAAGTCATGATTTGAATACATATTGAAAAGCAAATCCTTGAACTTCACTGTAACCGAGAGTTTCAAACTGTTTTCAGATTACATTATAATGTATGAATGCTAATACATTTGTTCAAATATACAGTGAATAGAGTTCATACCATGGCCACTGAGAATTCTGGATTCTGATTGGCTGGATTAACTTTTAGTAACCAGACCAGTGTAACAGCCAGTTTTAAACACGAGGTAAATACATTGTGGCATTGGTGCTTTTACTTACAGTATGTACCACTGCCTATAATCCTGGAACTCCCCGTAAGAAGGTAGCGCAAATGGTGGGTCATAAAAGCAACATATAGAGAAGGAAAGGGTAGAAAGGAAAGGAGGACGCTTTTCGACTTAGTGGTATGCGCCCATGTTTTCATGTGGCCTTGAATTATGGTGGGGATGATTAAATTCAGATTAAGAGAAGATTAGTAAAGAGGTGGGTGCTGTTTGCAGGTGGTACAGGGATGGAAGAGGGCTGGGTGAGGATCTGGTGGGGGGTAAGTGATGTAAAGCAGGTGATTTGTAGTCTAACAGTCGGTAGGTGTGTGTGTGTGCTCTTTGTGTGCACGGATGTGTGATTTCATGCCAAGTGAGGAGGCAAGCAAGCAGGTGTGTGTGTGTGTGTGTGTGTGTGTCAATGATAGTGAAAGAGAAAGTGAACATATGGGACTGACGTGTGTGTGTGTGTGTGTGTGTATGTGTGTGTTTGTGCACGTGATGGTGGGAGAGATTGGAGTGGATCTCAGTGCCCCGCTGGGTCTCTAGCACCAATTACTGTACCCTGCACATCTGCTGCCATCCTACTGAGCACAGTGTGTTCGGGCACCATGCCCACACACACACACACACACACACACACACCACACTGAGCATCACTGCGGCAGTAACAAAAACTTCACAAACTCTTTAAAGCTTCTCCCTTCACCTGCCATTCCCATTAACCTCTACCTCATCTTCTCTGTCTCTCATGTCTCTTTCCTCCATCTCCTCCCTTCAAGTCCCCCCCCCCCCCTCCATCCTGTTTTCGCTCTAGGACCTCAATTGCTATCTGTCAGCGGAAAATGGGCCTTGATGTAGCTCAGCTGCTGCTAGCGTATGGCATCCATCGCACCACCCTGCTCTCTACTCTTCAACCTTTTCTTCTTTGCCATCCCCCCTGTCCTGGCCTCTTCACTGTGGGCACTGACCCCCTCCATTCGTGTGATATTGAAGTGGTCGGAGTATCGCAGCGCTCCTCCCAATCCTCTCTCTCCTGTCCATTGCCCTTTTGCTACTCCTCCAGTTTTCTTCCTGTTTCTCTCCATAGTTACAAGAAGTGATGACCCCCCATCCGAACGTGTGATATTGAAATGGTCAAATTCCAATTCCTTGTTTTATCCTATTCTGCTTCCCTACAGCTTAACTTTCTTTTTCCCCATCCCTTCTTTCTTGCTAATGGAGGTGATCAGCCCCCTTTATGATACTGAAGGTGGTCAAACTGTCCCATTTTTCCTTTGATCCTTCAATACTCAGGATGTATCCCCCCCTCTATGCTTCCTTTCATCTTCACCCGCTCTCCTTTGTTTTCCCATTCTTTTCCCAGTGGTATCACCTTTACTTCCAAACTGCCTTTCACCTTCTGCTTTCTGCTTCATCTCCCTCCCATCCTCTTTACCGGTGGTGATGACACCCTCCAGCCGGATGATGTTGGAGTGGTCAAACTGCCCCAGGATGCCAGCCTCGCTGAGAAAGGAGCGCCGTTGTTTGTCAGAGCAGCCGGCCCTTAATGTCTTTATGGCCACCGGCAGCTCTCTCTTACTGGGCAGCTTCAGGCAGCCACGACACACCTCCCCAAAGTCTCCTGTAAGGGGAGACAGACAAACAATGGTCACGATCCCTTATTGATCAATGAACAACCACGGGGAACGGAGAGAGAACAGCGCAAAGTGTTGCAGGTCAGACTGATGATATGTAGCAATATCTGTGCACCGATGAAAAGAAAGTGAGAAGGAAGGTTGGTGCAGAATCAGATGGGAGAAACACAAACATATTGAGGAGGAAGAGAGATGACGCAAATGAACAGACACTATTGAGAGAGAGAGAGACAAGGAGAGACATGAAATACAAAGGGATCAAAGAAAGATCAAAGATGGGGTAGGGTGCAGGTGAAACAGTGGAACATCAAGTAAAGCCGAGGCAAATATAACAGCCAGAACAGCGGAGCTCGATTTTGGCAAAGATCAGTAAGATGCCAGACTGATTGAACTGGTTTCTTCAATTTGTCTGAAGGCAGGTTGAGGGAAAGTGCAAAAATACCTTGAGGTGCCTCAAGTTTATTTCAGCTGTTGATACTCCCTACTGTTTGCTGTCTTTGCTACTACTGAGATTTAGCTTTCTATATTTCATACATGAAATGGCAGCAAGATTAGGAATTCTTTGGCTTTTGTTACCATTTTATGGTATACTGTGGTTACACTGTGCCGTACATGCAATTGTTTTTATATTTTTCTATACACAATGATGCTCATACTCTGCTTTAAATTTGAAGGGACACTCGTGAAGATCATTTTACTCGTCCGAAGGAGTACTCCGCAGCCTGCAATAACTGCAGAATGGCTTCTGTGGCTTTGAAGAGAGCTTTCTAAAGTCTGAAAAAACAACCCTAATGTTCTCATTGGGGTTATCTCAGATTGGGCTTCAGACTTGTAAACTTTACCAGCAGCCTGTGTTATGAACTTGGGATGTGGAGTTTGATAGACATGGGAATTTACCTGGCAGGGAGGGTCTAACAAAAGATGCTATTGAGATGCATTCTGGGAAATATAGTGTCCACTGTTTTAGGAGCTTGACCCATAATGAAGACTAAAAGCCTTTGCTGTTTCAAATACTAAACTGCCAACGTATCCCTTTAAGGGAGCAAAGACTTGCAAAGACTGCGTTGTTCCCACGCCCAATCACGTACCTGTGTGCACAATTCTCTCTATTTTGATGCTCGAGTTGTCCAGCTCCTTGGCAAAGGCGTGCACGGCCTGCAGCAGGTCCTCGCAGGTCTCTGGGTCAATGTAGGTCCTCCGTGTTGGGATCTTAACTGAACACACAAACATACGATCACTCACAAAAATGTGTTTAGGACTGCACTGGTGAGTCAATACTTTCCACATTTCATAAAATCAACCGGACAGCAACACATAACTTCAAGTCCACATGCTTGTCTGTTAAAAGGAACACATTATAAGATACAAGTCTGGAGTCTGAGAAGCAAAATGTCCACATGAGGCACAAACAAATAGATAAAAGGAGCCACTCTCAGATTCAGATACCATTAAAATGCGTGTGACCAAATAAAGACAGATAGCTAGCCAATTGTTTTGTTAACATAGAGAGATATGTGTGGCCCTGGCAGTACCTCTCTCTCTCAACACAAAGGAAAACAGTTCTCATGTCTGCATCACTTTGTGATCTATTGAGGCTACAGTCAGTGGAGAAATTGGTATCTCTGCCTCCTTCAACAAAGAATTTCTCTCCATATGATTGTTGAACATTAGACTGAAATGTTGTGTCTTGCTCTTTGATCCAGAGACTGAAATCAATGCTGGAGTTTTACCATTGATGTTTGAGATAACTGAGACATTTACTTTGAAGTTTAACGTGCTTAGCCAGTTATCTGTGGTTATAATAACCACACGTAACCCAAAAATACGAAATACTTTGCAAGTAGCCGATTTTTTTCAGACTGATACAAAATGCTTCTGCTTATGTATTCATAACTTATGTATTCATAACATGTCCAATTCTCAGTTTTTGTTTGTTTTGACCTTGCGAACTCCAGAGGCAGAGAGAAAAAAACCGAGATCAAAAGGCTCTGAGTGCTCAAATCTGACTTTGGGTTTCCTCCACATGGCTTTAGTCAGATCACAGGGCTCTTCCACAAGGGCTTTTGTCTTTTCTGCGTGCCTCCAAATGTTATCTCACTAACACACACACATACACACATATGCAAAATAACAGACACACACAACATAATCTTCAGTCAGAAACTGGGACAGGACATAATAGACAGTAAAATGCTGAGGCAGAGAAACCCTAAAGCCACTGTACTTGTAGCTGGCTTGCTGCTTTGTTGTTAGTTTAAGAGTTTGGGCACTGCATGGCATTCCAAAAAACAATGACAGCTTGGCTACCTCAGCAAAAAAAGATCTACAAAAATAACATTACTCTTTGACTTCTATCTACCCTGTGACATTTGATAAATCGTCTAATTATAATAGCCACATATTGTGGGATAACAACTTCAACCTGGAATATAGAAACCTGGAGTCTCAATTAAACATATTTAAAGTGTTTCATGTTGCCCTATGCAATCTTTAAAAGGATAAAAAAGGTTATTATTAACGATTATCTTGGCTGATTTCTTTCAAGGACCTCTATAAAGCTGCTTCTGTGACACTAATGAGACAAAACAATTGGAAATTTCAGCTGACATTTAAAACTGAAAGTGTGTAATATTGACCCTAACTGTTTGACTGTACACAACCAAACAAAAACCTGGTTTCTCAATGAGCCTCTTGTTTTCTTTATCAACTGCCTATTGACCAACACTAACTAACAAATTAACTAGCCAGCAGTTAGCCAATAACCATTAACCAATGGACTGTGGTTTTCAATTAGACGACCTCTGACCCTTGTTACTACATGCTAAGGCTAATCTTCCAGGAAAAGGCCTAGTAGTTTTCCCAAAATCTGGGGAGAAGCTCTTAAATGTGATTACAGCTCTAGATCGACCTCAGGGATCCTATACGGGCTGCCTCATAACGGCTTATTGATCCAACACACACATACATGCACACGTTTGCTTGTGTGTCCGAACAACACACACACACACACACACACACACACACACACACACACACACACACAGATATGTTTGTGCACCCACATACACACATTGACAAATAAAGCCAAAAGTCCAATTATGAAGCAAATGAAACCTTTTCTATTCAAGACCGAGGCTGAGAGGAGGATCGAAGACTCTTTTCTGTCTAATAGGGTTTTCAAACACACTGTTGTAGCTTAAAACCAGCTATGTAGCACATGTACACACACACACACATAAGAGGGGATGCTCACATGCCTAATGAAATGAACTATAGGCTGAAAATGGCTGCAAACGCTCAGACACATATATGTCACGCTTCATTGGTCCTGGGGCTGATTAGTTTCAGGGTTAACTGTGTCACTGCAATGAGCGATTGAGGGGAAACTGAAGCATGTTCACACTTGGCTGCATAATCTTCAGTGGACTACAGATTGAGCACACCCAGTGCCAAATATTTTCGTTCTAAACCAAAGGCCACAAACTCTTTATAACACGCCTTGTTATCTTTCTCCATTCATTTCCCCAGACATCTTCTCTCTCTGTCTCTCTCTAACATGCAATCAAACTCTGGATGATATCTAAAAGTGGTCCGTTAATGGAGATTGCAGATGAGTCTTTTCTCCAACCCCCCCCCCAACCCCCTCCAACCCCCTCCATTTTATGTTTCTAGGTCACATACTGCGACATAAAACTAATGTTCTGAGCAGTGTCACTTATGATGAGTCTCTCCATCTCTGCCAACTCACCTCCTCATACTCCATCCCACTTCCCCTCTTACTGAGCCCTCCGCTCATTCATTTACCCTCCTCTCTCCCTCCTTCTTCCTCTTACTTCATTACTCACACACTCATTTATTCACTCATTCGTGCTCTTCCGTGTTAAACTTTGGTCACAGAGTGTGTTTTAAGACTCTTGCAGGCATACAGATGGGAAAACTTTTTAAATCAGGCTTACATGACAGTCGCTACCTTACACACTTCACATTTTCAGGCAAGGCAGACACCTGCAGCGCAGTGAGAGCATGTTGTAGTCCACATACTTGGAACAGGAAGTGGCCCAAGAGAGTGTGTGTGTGTGTGTGTGTGTGTGTGTGTGTGTGTGTGTGTGTGTGTGTGTGTGTGTGTGTGTCTGTGTGTTGGATAAAGAGAACAAAAACGTGTCTTTGTGTGAGTGTCCGTGTTCTACAAAAAAAGGTGTGTGTGTGTGTGTGCGTGCGCTTCTGTGTGTATTGCGTGCTTGTCAGCTGTTGGCATGTCTTTGTTTGGGCAGATTTAATTCCCAGCCGCATGGCTTCGGCTCATTATTCATCAGGCATAGTGCTCCAAACCTCTCCAGAGGGCTCAGCATGCTGGGAGATTAAACAACGCAAATGAGCGCGCACATGCGCGTACACACACACATACACCACATTAGAAAAAGCATTGGCACGCACACATACACACAAACAGGAAGAGATATGTCAAACTACTTCCATTCTGTCACTGTCAAACAAAAAGCCTATTGAGAGCGTTGTGAGCAGAGTTAAAAAAAGCAGCATTTACAATCTTGTACAACATCACATACAACAATATTTAATGTCCGTTTTGGAATCTCTGCTTGTCTCGTTCTGGAGCTTTTACCCTCTTTCTCTTTCTCCCTCTCCACCCCCCCTCCGTCCCCTCATCTCCAGCTCTTTATCTATCCCCTCCTCCTGATTTCAATCTCTACCCATCAACCTCAGCCGCACACACCACCTAATGGAGTGTGTCAGTGTGCTCAGAATTGGCTAAGCATGCACTCAGAATTAAGAATTAATGCCGTGGCGCCAATGCCTCAAAAGTCATCTGTTATACAGGCGCGTGTGTGTGTATTCACATGCATTCCAGCACATGGAATAGGAAAGACACCTCCCCCTAATCTCCAGAGTTTGAACACCTACAGTTATTACAAACATCTGCAATACAATAGAGTGATCACTGCTGTCACTTACACTGGAAGTAAAGTTCCTCGTCTCCCTCTTGAGAAGCTTTGCTGTAGCCGCATTGTCTGTGAGGAGAAACAAAGACAGGCATCAGACAGTGTTTTATCCCAGTCGAGAGACACAAACAAATACAAGCATCAGATGCTGTTTATCTTGGAACGTCGCAGACTGTATGGAATGTGCAATAACTGTGAGATGAGAGAAAGTGAAGACAAGAGTATTGATAGTGGAAATGGAAAGGATATAGAGAGGCATTCAGACCCCTGATGCGATGGCACTGATGAGCAACAGAAAGATCCGAGGCTGAATAAGTGGAAATCCAGCCTGATTTGACTGAGCGAGTCACAGACACACACCGAAAGGCCTGGAATTGATACTCTATTGTTGTTTCAGCCTGATGGGAGTTTTTATGAAAAAGACAAATACACATACACGGGCAACTGTACTTTCTACATGTATGTGCACACACGGTCGTTTTTTCATCCCTGGCCACCACAGGGGGTCTATAAAGGAGAGAGCTCTCTATGATCTGACTGTTGATGGCTTTTCGGCTTAGAGGAGAACTTGGCTCTTTACGCTCACATGCACACAATCCACCGAAACACACACACACACACACACACACACACACACACACACACACACACACACATACTGTAAGTGACAGATTAACAAGTGATGAGCAGACATTCTGGATGACCAGCACCATGCTTACTTGGATTAGAGAAAGGGATGAACAAGACAAGAGGGATACAGCAAAGGAATTGAAGTAAGTTTTGATGGTAAAATCTGCAGTACATCAGAGGTTCTTCTAGCAAACAGGGTGCTGATAAAATTATAACTATATCCCAGATATATATGGAACTACATGGTCATAAAGTGATTAGAGTTTTCCTCCAGTTACAATCTGAAGTACCCTTTGCAGTCTACAGCAGCATTTTAGTTTACTGTGGGGTTTATTTAAAAACACGTGTTTGTACATGTGTTTATATCTGAAAGCTTTATACCAACAGGTGAACGTTGAACATAATTATTGTGGCTGGTTGCCATGTTTTCAAGGACGCCGACTTGAGCTTTGATTGCTACGTGTTACTTGAGGACTGATGACACCGAGGTTCACAATCTATGTATAGGAAAGTCAAGGAGTGAGGCTGCCCATGCACGTGTCTACAGGCATGGGCCGTGCGTTTGAGTCAGTGTGTTATTGTGATTGTCAGAACACATCAGCACTTCAATAAACCGGTGCACAGCTGAGAGGGAGTTCGCAGACAGCCTGACGGACTCACTTTATATGTTTTAAGCATGTCTGTGTGTGTGTTCGTGATTGTTCCTTTACGTGTGTGCATGCATATGAATGTATATGTGCGGGGTTACACACCGTGTGTGTGTGTGTGTGTGTGTGTGTGTGTGTGTGTGTGTGTGTGTGTGTGCAAAGGCTTGTGTGTGTGTGTGCAAAGGCTTGTGTGCATTCACAGGATTGTGTTTTCTTTTTCTTTTGCATGTTCATGTCCCTGTGAGTGTTTGCGTGGGGAAGATGTGATCGAGGGTGAGCCTGACACATCCCTCAGCCTATGTAGCAGCAGGGTCTGAGACAAGGTCGGGACCCTGTCTGTCAAAACACACCAGCAGACACATGCAGCACAGATCCTCAGGGCAGGAGATACCAGACAGGGGAGAAGAGACAAGAATTAATAGATAAGGGAGCACCGCGGCAAAGGGAGCAAGGGGAGGGGTAAGGACATGACGGTACCAAGAGAAACAAGATGCAAGAGACCTAAGGGGGAAGAGAGGTAAGGGAGCAAATGGGGAACATGACAAGGGGATGAGGGCAAAGCAGTGGATAAATCACAAAGAAAAAATGCAAGGAAGTCGGGAGATGGAAGCAGAGGAAGTGATAAGAAAATAAGAGGTTACGGGTAAGAGGATAATTGGGCAGAAGGGTATGAAAGGAAGGGGAAATAGTTGAAGAGGCACAAAGTATAGCCCATAAAAGTACATGGTTAGGGGCAGAGGAAGAAGCAAGGAGAGAAATAAAGGATGGCAATGAGGAGTGCAGGGCAGGAACTGCAGCTAGGACATACAGCAGGAAGAGTTGACACATTGACGAGGCAAATTAGCAAAACAGCAAGCAGAATTACAGAAATAACAGATTTAAGGGGACAAGGCGAGTGATATGAAGGAAGTGAGGAGACAAGGAGTCAACCGAGGCTTGGAGAAAGGAAATAAGGAAGAAAAAGAATAATTGGCAGGGCTGCATGGAGGCAAAGTCGCATGACTTGATTCTATTTCCATTACCTCTTTTGAAATGTCACAGATGTGACAAAAATGAAATAGCAGATGCAAAGTAGCTCTTTTTGGTGGGTAGCTTCATTTTGGGTATGAATTCAACGGTAACAGTCTCCATCACATTTTTTAAGTTCATTTCAAATACAGTACTGAGGATATAATATGGAATTGGGCCAAACAGCTTGACAAAAAGGGAAGAAAAGGGAGAAATGATTTTTGGCTTATTATCATTCTCTTGGTATGAGAAAGGCTAGAAACAGAAGAAAAAGAAGCACAGAGGGAGAGAGAAGATATGGCAGGGCAATGGGGAGGAAATGAAAAGAGGAGAAAGAGGTGGGGAAAAGTAGGGAGGAGGAAGGGAGTGCAGACATGCCAGTGTACCTGGGCATCAGCTGTGTGAAGGGAGGAAGAGGAGAAAGAAGAGGAGGAGGAGGAGGAAGAGTGGAGAAGGAAGTCGAGAGCAGCACCACGCTAGCAGGAGTTACATTGGAGGAGCTCGAGCAGACACTGCTGGGAAAAAAACAAGGGAGGGGAGGGGGGTGGGGGTACGAATGTCAATTCTGACTCTTTTCATTACTTTAAAAGATGGTCAGTCAACACAACTTTGGATTGATGAGTAGATTCCTTTGTCCCTTGTCTAATCATTGGAAAATGGTGGATGCTGCCAATAAAACATGCAGTAATGATTATAGATAGTCATTACTATGAAAACATACTGTATATTCTCTATTTTGAAAATATATCCTAAAGTCTATTAAACCCTCACAAACCTGGTTCCAATTTTATGCTTTTTTACCAGAATTCTGGACCTTTTTTTTAAAATTTCACACTTCAGAAGAACCAGATGGCAGAAAGAAATTAGTGGATGCCAAAACACTGAACATTCTGGCCAAACTCTGTCGCTGTCAGCTCAGCCTCATCAAATGTTAATTTTGGCAAGAATTTTTGTTTTAGTTTTACTATTTATGTCGGATTTTTGAATGTGCATTTGATTTTAAATAAACAAATGTAATTACTGTAAACTAAACTTAAAGGTTTTTAACTTAAAATGTAAATTCACCCAAATAAAAATGACTGTATCTTGTATTACATATTTCTGTTTTTGTAAACAAATAGCATAGAAAAACCAAAACCAACAATGTATTAGTCATTCTGTAGACTCATGGGCCCATTCCCTACTCAAGATATAAATCTTTAAAAATGGGTCACAAATATATACTTTAATTACTAAAAAGGTTAAATAAAACAGCTGGATAATTATTTTAACATTATTCAAGTGTTTGTTGGGAACTACTCCTATTATTGTAAATAAGGAACCCGTCACCAAGTTGAACAGGTGGCTCAGGGGTGAGTTTTTAAATATTTTTTGGACAATAAAGGAGCTCTATAACACAAAGCTATATCAGGCTACAATACTTGTTGGTTGGATCAATTGGTCGTTGATTGATGGTTTTTACTATTTCCATGGAATTTGTTGTCAAGAATAAATATCCTTTAACTGTCCATAAGGCTAGATAGCACTATGATTAACTGGGCAACTGTCTTTGTGGATTAACTGAACCTATAAACATTTGATAAGAATTGTGTTTATTTATTTACTGAATGCAGGCATTTAAGTGCATGCAGTACTTTTTAATTATACTTTTTGAGAACTGAGTGCTGGGCATGTGCTTTCCTAGCTGCACCTCATTGGCCAAAATGCTATCTCTAGCACACAGCTTGCGGAACAGCATTGAGAAATAAACGCAGACACATCAGAAGAGATAGGGTGTAATGTATCTTTCCCAAGGGATACATTTTTGGAAGGGAACCATGTTAAGGTAAATGTGCAAAATTGACTGGCTTAGTTTACTAATTAGGTACAGCCAAGTGTTTCTGTACAAGCAAGCAATAAAAAATATGTAGTTGTTTATTCTAAAGATTCAGCATTTCCTCACAAGTCATCATGGTTTTGGATGACAAAATTACCACTAACCGTACCATATACTTATGCATCTCAAAGGCAAATTAAAATTTCTGCTCATTTTCAAGTGAATTACCATACGTGCAGCCCACACACTAGTTTTCAGGAGAGAACTTTAAAGCAAAAAAGGAACAGATGCCATGTAAATGAAGCCTATTCACTGCCTGCTTTTTCCTCTCCATACCTGAATTCTCCTCTAAAATAAAGTGCGGTTATGGAAATAATATGAATAATAGGCGAGAGAGCTGAAATAGAATCCTAGCTGACAGGTAAAGTGAAGCAAAGGGAATTTAGGCCAGCAGACACTTATGTAGGGCAAAATACATGGAAAATTAGGGAATTTCAAAAAGCCATAATAAGTTTTATCTCTTCATATGACTCTGGTTTATAAGATTCAATGCGGTGACGCTGTTGTTTTCCTACATTGCGAGGAGCTGCTCCTTGAAAATCTGCACTAGAGGGATCCCTTCTGATTGCATAAACCCCTCGGTAAAGGTAAAGACATTGTAGTTTTCGGTTTGGGTTAAGAATCGTTAACAGGTCCACATTAAAGTAATGATTTATTCGTCTGTGACTAATGAATAACAAATGGAAACATATATCCAAAATTGATACAGAATGATGATGATGATGGTACAGAGTGGAATAATGGAAGATGTATCTGGTGGTGGGGGGCTTTCTGAGACATGAAAGCACTGATCTGTATAAGACAAGCAGGAAACTACACTACTGTGCTTGAGACCTTTTCTCTTGGCCTCCCCATCTCTATCGTCTTATATTTTCCCCATCGAAACCCACTTTTTGTCACCGTGTCGCCAATGGCCCTCAATGGCCCTATGATTTGACCCTCTGCTTTAATTCCCGCTTCTTCCTTTCTCCTTGATCTCCTTTCCATCTCCTGCTCCTGATAACTTGTAACTCACTCAACAGATATAGGCACACACACACACACACACACACACACACACACACACACACACACACACACACACACACTCAATCACAAGACACACAAATGCCCGCTGGTGTGGCCAGTGAAGGGTAAATAATCCTTGTGCTGACCAGTTGAGCCTGGGCTTTTTGGAGAATGTTTGGGCAATGCCCTGGAACTCTATCAAACTCTTTCAGGGACCAATGGACTGTATGTGTCTGTGTCTGTGTGTGTGTGTGTGTGTGTGTGTGTGTGTGTGTGTGTGTGTGTGCTTACTTCCATTATTATTCCCCACATTATTTTTACTGAGTGTTGTGAATAATTTTCCATGTATATCACGGTAATGTGGCTATGACTCTTACTGAAAACCCTGGCAGCAGGGGGATGGGAAGAGTCCAAAACACACCGACTGTGCAGCAGCAAGTAACACGGCGGCCATTATTAGACACCTGTAGCATCAGATCAGCTACAGCATGGAACTTCAACAAGACACGACATATTATGATGTATCATACAGAATAAAAAATTAATATGGAATGCTGCACTGCATGCTTTGGCTGTGATTTCACTAGACTCCTAACCCGAAGAGCCAATCTCCCGAGCTTTGGTTCGCTTGAGAAATGTGTTTTATTACTATCTTTATCTTGATGTTGACAATGACATCTCATACCTCAGTGACTTTCACCTCGTCCGCTGTTACAGGTATAAGACTCAAGTGAAATGCATGATATCAAACCAGATGAGTAGTCAGTACAGTAGCCCGGATGCACCAATTGAGAAAGCAAATCTGAAAAAAGCGGAAAGAACTATTGACCGGCAGAAGCACTGGAAAATAGGAGGACATTGGTGCATTCTGGTGCAGTGTGGTATATCCACACATGCTAACACATCCCTTTACATAGAAAACAATGGGCAAGTAATCTGTTGGTGTGTTTTGGACTTGTAAAAGAAGCAGAGTGAACATGCTGCTGAGACATACCTTGCATTAAAAGTGAGACATTAACCAGATTTCCTGATTCCATAAATGAAAATGCATGCCTTAAATGTGTACGACTGCCTGTATCCCTGCCTTCATGTGTGTGCAGCGGGAATCATTTGCATGTGTCTGTGTGAGCAGACAGATCGATGTAACTGAGCCCCTCAAGCCGAGGCCGGGAGGCTGGCTGTCTTTGGAAACACGAGAGCATGGTAATTGAGGCATCTAGCCATTCCCTCTTTGTCTCTATGCAAAACATGAAGAGCAAGTTAATGGTCCAGCAGCAATGAACAATGGAGACCACTTGCAATGAATGCAGCGATGGGAGTAAAGGAGAGAAAGATAAGCATTATTATTCAGAACTGGGATGTGCACGAGGGGATGATGCTGCCTTCCCTCAAAGCAACAATGTATTTAAATACTTATGTGTGTGTACTGAGAGTTAGCACATTCTTGCATATTCTGTGTGTTTCTACTGCAGTGCTGTTGCCTTCACACAGCTGAGTATCTATGTGTCAGTCTATGCGTACATCTGCTCCCATATATTCCTTTATGGATGTTTGACTGACAGCAGTTTGTATGGGGCTCCTGTGAGTGAATAGAACCCATTTCTACACCTGGTTGACTCCATCATTGCACTGTTTTGTGTGCATCTGGAGTTGGTCCGGTGGTCTCTATATCACAATCCACTCTTTAGACAGGTAGGTGTATCCGTGGAAAAGGTACTTTATATGGCTGAGAGGTTGCATGAATGTAGAGAGTGTGTGTGTGTGTGTGTGTGTGTGTGTGTGTGTGTGTGTGTGTTTGTTTGTAGAGGAAAAGGGAATGCACACTAACTTTGCCAAAGATGCTTTCACAATGTATCTGAAAATCTCCCTGGATAAATATGAATTGAATGCTAGCCAAATGAAATGAAACAAGAAAAACAATGGTTTTCTGGCCATGGGTGTACGTGTGCAACTGTGTGGGAGTAGATATGTGCTCCCTGCTCATGTACTTGCATGTGTGATGGAGTATACAGTACAAATGTGTGTGTTTCTGTGTGGGCGTGTGTGAGGCGAGCTGGCAGATTATAGAATTGGACAGGAGTCAAAGAGCAAAGTGGTTGGAACGCCAAGCAGAAATGCACTATACCCCCTCCTCCCCTCCCTTTATCTGCTCGGCTGAATAAAACATGCAAGTATATGGCAAGATATACTCGGTGCAATAAACAAGACAATAAGACAATCAAACATGCGTTAAAGCGCCTGAGATGACACAGAATAACGGCACTGAATTGAAACAAGAATGAAAAGAAGAAAATGAAAAATTATTAATTTAGTTTAATTTATTAATGTGACACTTGCCACAAAGACTGTCAAAAGTAAAATTTCCAGTATCACAAACTGTGACAAAGGAGGTGGTGCAGATTTCTAGATCTAGATCAATTTGCACATTTAAAGTCTTAATTAACAATTGATACCAGACATAATGGGATCAACCTCCATAGCATTAAAGAATTTGCTGTTTATCAGTTAAGGTGTTTGTGTAGCATTGTGTACTTGGTTATTTATTATGTTTGGCCATATTGTCTTTAGTATTACATCGGACTATCGCCTGCTCTTATTTGTAAGTTAGCCCCAAACATAAACTTTTACAGTAGTCAAAAATGGGTATATATATTTGTCTACTGAAATGTTCCAGTTATGTGTAGAAATTGAACTGTAGTTAGGTGCAAATGGTCACTCTTAAAGTCTCTTTGGTAGTTGCTTCCTTCTCCAGTCCATCCAGAGGTATTACTGCAGAGACAATGCGGTAGCAATGAGGCTGCAAAAATCATTTAATGCCTTATATAAAGGCAGTATCTTAAAACTGTGTCACTGCAGTTTTTTAACACCATGCTACCATAACACGTAACTTGCTTAACCTAATTTTATGCTGGTCATCGCAATTCATTCATCAAGTTCTAAAGTTGACCCAAATTGACCAGGCTGCCACTTTAAATTAGAAATACAGAAATACAGCTTCTTACACCAATTGGTGCAGTCTGAATGGCCTCTTCCTTCCACTGCAAAACTCTCCAAATTGAAAGAATCTTAATTTAATAAGACTGAGCTGTAAGCTGAAAAAATAGGTCACAGTGGAGGAAGTCATTGTGGTTACCTGCAACTCTAACTTGCTTCAAGTTAAATACTGAAGTTCTCTTTAGATCTTTTTGGAAATAAAATAACAATTTTGGGCTGTCAACCCTAATCGTGTCAAGCAAGAGTTCAGGCTTCTTTAGAAACTATTGGGCTGTGTAAACCATGTGTCAGCCGTTACGCAAGTGACACTGTTTTAATCTCCCTCTCTTCTCTTTGCTGTTTCACAATTCCCACTTCTTCATGTGAAACCTAATTAGATAGCAAAGAACTCTGAACTCCTCGCCAAAAAGAAAAAAAAAAAGATCAAAGACGGTTTTGACCCTTTCAGCATTTCCCCCTTGACACAGACAGCACCATTATCAAACAGATTTTTTTATGTCACATATTAAACGATGAGTGGTTATCGTGTATTTTCAGCCATTCTCTCGCCGTCACTGCTCGTTCCTTTCACAAAGGGACTCCTCCTATCGCCGGATTACTGTAATCTGGATTATGATGGAGTGGTGTGTGACAGTTGACTGAATATGTGATTGAGTCTATGATAGAGTGTTTGTAAGCATTTGCATGTTAGTGTGTTTCTCTAACATGCTAAGAGTATTAAAATCTTAGAACGACGAAATAAGCCATAGGAAGTGCATTGCAGATGGTGAATTGTTTGCGTGTTTACGTCTGCGTATACATATCTACCTCCTCCAGATTAGCAATCCAACTCCCATGGAGAGCAGCATGATCAGGGCGGCCACGGACACGACGACGATGATCACCACTGGATTCTGTTCGCTGGATGCCAGTGCCACTAGAGATAACAAGACACACTCATCACACATATGAACAAACAAGCACTTAACTGAACTGGGTGTGCAACAATTAGCTGGGCAAAAAACACAGGCACATTTGTGCATTGCGCATGCTCGTCATCTCATGATAATGACACAATTTAACTCAACAGCATGCAGTGCACATATATTCAATTACTGTACATTAGGTGTGAACAAGAACAGGAGATGAGAGGCGATGACCTTAAAGCCCGAATTAATTTAATAGGAAGTTGTTTAGAGTGGAAGGTAAACTGACGTTTTCTTATTTTAGAAAGCCACGACCTCCTCTAGATTAATATTCTCACTTGACCCTCCTATATTACAATGTTAGAAGCATTTACTTACATTCTGCTTCACTAAATTGACTCAAAGGAACAGAAATAAAAGGACACCATGTGTTGGTGTAATGCACAATATGCTCTTAGTCGTTGTAGTAAATCTGATGGTAGTTAAGCAGAACTACAGTCACTGTCACAGCAATCTCATCTTGAAGGTCCTTTTAGTAGGTCTTTATCAACAGTTTGCCAGTTATTATACATTCTAATGCTGAACCCTGCATAAAAAGGTAGCCACACAGATTTCCAGGACAAAGCTGACTAATTAACAAAATTTCACCAATTAATTTTGGCCATGTTAGATAAACATGTTAACGGCATGATCATCATATATCAATTTTACATTTCTTATAGCCAATTTAAATACTGCTGTATTTTGTTTGTGTTGTTTTGCCAGCTGCTATTTTTAAAAGGTCAAGAATAAATTATGAACCCCAGCAGATCAAGTTCTTACCATCCTGGGACACAGCAGCCCATGCTGTAGCCATTAGTTATCTTCACAAAACTGAACATTAATCTTCAGTGCCTCAATGTAAACACTTGCCAAAGAACATACATTCAAATCTGTACGAGCTTGTGAAGTTTTTTTTTCCCCTGCACGTGCCAACTCCTACTCCTACCGTTTACTTACAATCAAACTACAAATAGTTACACCTGCCTAATGTATTCACTTGAGAAATGTCATAATCTTGATGTTAACGTGTTTAAAATCCTTTTGCCTGCCTGCGTTTTGTACACGGCCAGTAGGGGCTGCTGTGTTGCTGCCTTGTGAGATCTCAGGCCATCACTCCTTTGACACTTGATCTTGCCCGAGGCAAAAGAAGCTCACTGATTATGCATCTTCCAAAAAAGTTATTGTGCAAACTACTGTAAGACCTCTCACCCTAAAGCAAAACAAAGAAGTATGCAACCCCATCTGCTTAAAAAATAAATAATCTTTTTGTAGAGCTGGTCTTTGGCCAACAGTGGAAGATAATGCTTGTGCAGGCCAGCTCTCAGGTGAGTTGAACTGTATCATGATGTGAAGCAGCTCAGCGCTATAAAACTATGAAAGCTCAACAAATCCCTGTCCTGGAAGAATGAAAGGTTCAAAACAAAGAATTCACAAGAAGTGCAAGGCATGAAACACACACAGAGTCCCAACCAGACCTTGAGGTGGCACAAGGGACCCGGTATCAACTTGCACAAAGAGGAACCGTTTCACAGCTTACTGGTAAAATCTTGAATCTTCACACATAATCTCAGACACAGTCACATCCCCTTGTGTGGGCTGGCCAGGTGCCTACACAAACCCCCCTACCCAATCTGCCTGGCGGTGCTAAGAGGAAGGAGAGAAAGTGAGGAGACGAGAGGGGAGGAGGCGTAAAACGGGTACTCACACTCGCCAAGTGTCTGCAGCTCCAGGGGAGCGCTGTATGCTCCGTAGTCGATGGGCGGCGGAGAGGAAGAGGAGGACGAAGAGGAGGACGAGGAAGAAGAAGTAGAAGAGGAGGAGGCAGAGGATGAAGACGAGGAGGACGAGAGAGGGGAGGAGGACAGGGACGAGGAGGGGGCCGGCGTAGAGAAAGGGCGGATGAGGAAGACATATGTGGTGCCAGGTTTGAGGTTGTTGACACTGATCCGTGTGGCGGCAGTCTTCACAGTAGAATAACTCTGGTCCTTTTGTTCCTGTGGAGACATAAAGTGAAAGTGAGAGACAGAGAAAACAAAGACGGAGAAACAGGAGGAGAGAGAGAGGAAGGAGTGAGACGAGTAGGTGGAATCCATTTGTGAGATGTCTTGTTCATTTCCAAGGCACAGTTTGTAGTGCTGGGGGACGTGTGAGACGAATTTGTAACCATATGAAGGACTTTGGTAATGTTTCATTTATTGAGAGAGTGGAACAGTGCTTCAAAGAGTCGAACAAAGTTTCAAAGACTCAAGACAGTCTGTGAGGCCAAGTTCAGGAGTTATACTTATTTAACCTGCTTTCAATAAAGAAATATGACTCTGCGTGTTGGACATAAATAAAATAATCCAGGCAGTAAGAAAAGCACGACTCTATTCATTAGAGAGGTCTTTAGAAAACAAAACCAAAGACGTTGCCTATTTGTTCATCTATGTGAGTATGACTCACACCTTGCAAGAGTGGGCACAATGAGGGCAGAGAATAGGTGACACACATCAACATAATTACTCCACTCGTCTGATATCTTTGTTTTTGCCTGTTCGGTGACAATCCGTTTCCCAATCTCTGCCTGGTTCCAACAAACAGTCTTTATTGTATCTCTGCACGTCAATAAGATCGCTCAAAGTCAGGGCGAGCTTGTATAACAGCTTTGATGATAAATCTGATGTACGTGCGGGGGTAAAATGAGGTAATCATGGTGAAGCGAGTGTAAGTGACTTTTTTGAGTATGCACAACGCTCCTTGCATGTGGTAATGAGGATTGGGAGCGGCATGCATGATCTTTATTGCTTTTTTATGTATGTCCAAGAATGGAGTTGGATGAGGACGTAATAAAGAAGGCAGAGAGTCAGAGAGAGGGACCGAGTGAAATAAAGTGAGATTATGGGAGAATGGCAGCCACTGTATAATGAGTGACTCCTGTGGAGTGAGCTAATACAATATGTGGCACAGAAGAGAGAACAGAGGAGGAATAAAGAGTTCTCAGAACATGACATTTTGTAATATCAAGTAATGAAAAAACAGTGATTTAATCATTATTAGTCATTACCATTGTTAGTCATTATTGTTGTCAACAATGTGCTATTGGTTGTGATCCCGATTAAATTAAATACCTCATACATGATCAAATAAAGTGATTTTATAGATATCAGTAAGCCCATACCATAGAGCTGCATCTTGATAAGAGAACAAGAAGAATAAAGGATATACACTGAATGAGAAAAAACATATTTTATACTTTAACAGGCTACTTTCTGCAGTGTAGACGCCTTTTTCATTTCATGGTCTGTCAACAATCTTCCTGTCTCACTCTCAGTTACTCCCCATCTATCCCTTCTATCATTCATCTGATTCCATCATTCTTTCCACCACTGTGCTCTTACAAGCATCTTTCCACCAAGTCATCTTCCCCTCATCTGTCCCCAATACTCTCTCTAACCTTTTCTCTTTCTTCACACAGGCTTCTCATTCTTTCAAAATGCTCCGCCATATACCTCCTCTCATCTCCTTTCTGTTTCCTTGCCCATTTCTCGTCCAAACCTTCCCCTCTTTTTTTTTCACAACGATGTGGGAGTAGAGCAGTAACGAGCAAGGGCTTTATTAAATATGGTGAAGCATAGAGAAGAGAAGGAGGTGTGAAAATGAGTGAGAGTGTGACACAGCCAAATACAAAGTCTCGGTGTTGCCAGAAAATGCAGCGTATGAAAACGGAGAGGCGTGAGCATGACAGCTGTGGTTTACGTGCATGACAGATTTACTGTGAAGACTATGACTGTTGACGGGGCGGGCACAATCTGACTAAATGTTATGTTAAATGAGCGTGATAAGGCTGATGAAATTAGAGTTGTTGTCCATAAAAGCAAAAGAAAAAATGGCAGTAATATGGACTCAGGGTTCTACATAATTGGCCATTGAAATGCACTACAAATACATGATTTCAAGTCTGCAGTTCAAGACAATGATTTTATCATGTGTAAAAAATACCACCTCTGATTTGCTCCAAAGGTACACAACAGTCAATGTATCACTTCTTTTAGTTGACTTTGTGATAAGTCTATATACATTTGTGTAATTTGAGTATCACTCATCATGGAGTTGACCAGCAAATTAGCATGGTGCACCAAAGCAAAAGGAGGCATGAAGCAGATTTTGGTGTCATCATGGATACCAACTGGAGCGCAAATGATTCTGGGATTTTCAAGACTAATGAAATTTGGGATTTTAAAAAGAAGCAAGCATTTAGGAGACATAGAAGATCTAAGACACTGTTGAGTTGCATTATGGAAAAGGCAGAGATAGTCTAATAAAATACATTATTAAGTTATATAATGGGAAATGTAGGAGCCAGCATTTTTGGAGCCTAGAACAGTCAGGAGATCTCGGCCTCTTCCGCTGTGACTTTGACTGTTCACTTTTTAATCTCTCTTCTGAATCCCTAAACTTTATAGAAGTGCAATAATAAATCACTGAATTATCTCTTTAAGATCCCTTAAATCTGGTTATTAAGGAACTGTGACCAAGACGCGTACTGAGCTGAATATTTTACACTTAAAAATCAACTTCTCAGTGCTTAACCTTTACTGTCTTTTATTGCTTTCCTTCATTTAGTTGCTGGATTCTTACTCAATTTATATAAGTACAAACATGAAGAATTAAAGTTTACTACAGCTTACTAGTTATGGCAGTAACAGTAAGTGGAAAAAAAACAGGCTACTGTATATATAAGTCTTGATTAGTGATATTTTAAATAAAATAAAACAAAGTTATGGACAGATTTTGATGTAACATTGGATTTTACCTTCTCGTAGTATTTGACCTCATATTCAGTGCGGCTGCTGTTTGGGTAGGAGGGCTCCCTCCACACCAGGGTTATGCTCTTCTGCTCGATCTTCTCTGCTCGCAGCTCACTGATCAGTGATGGTGCTACAAAGAGGGAGAAAGAGGAGAAGAGACAGAGAGGAAGAAGATAGATGAGTTTAGTGGATTCAAGTCTCATCCAATATACAATACAATACCTTGAGGAGTTTTCTCAAGGACATCAAACATAGTCTTTACTCTCCTGTTTTTCCAGTTTTTACACAAAGCTGGACTGTGGAGGCAAAGGTCAAGGGAGGAATACAGTGAATTATTTCACAAGGTGGATTTTGCCAGAAAGCAGGCAATAATATATTTTACAGTCTCTCCCACTGTAGAGAGACATAAAAAGAGAAAGAGGACAGAAGTACGTAGAAAAGAGGTAACATGTTAATTATTGAAGCCGAGATGTGTCAGAAAACTTCATCACACTCCATGAATGGACAAACACTGCGTTTCTTTGTCTGAGTGTGTGAGTGTGTGTGCATGTGTGGCATTGAACGTTACCTGGGTCGGTACATTGAGAATGACAATAGATCAATACAGGTATGGATTGACTGACAAGTCTGTATCGACACAAGACTAACAGATGGAGACGCTCTTAATCCGAACTCCCCGTTTCCTCTCCGAGCATCTCAATTAAAGTGACCTGAGATATTTTCTTTGTGATTCAATCTAAGGGAGAGCCACGGTGAAAATTTACCCTGACAGATCCCTTATTGATCATGATAGAGTACAAAACAGAAGATGAATTATCCAGACAAAGCTTTCCGAATTCAGATGCAGTTTTTAATGGTACCGGATCGCTACGCAAAAATACAATTTCATTATCGAGGAAAGACCGGTTCTTTGTTTCTCTGTCAACAAAGGACAGGCAGCACATAGTATGATAATCAGCAAGCACCACCCACTCTTGCTTAAGTGCTAATTATGCCATGTATAATGAAGTAGCAAAATGGGTTGTCACTCAACAATACTAAGAAAAATAAAGGGGTGCAGTTAGCTTAGTCAAAAGGCCTTTCTGTTTGGGAGGAGCCGTGCCATTAAGGCCATTAGGGTTAGGATTAGTAGGAGAGGGTAAGGGGTGTTTTCTGACATTTTTTTGGACTGGACGATAATTATTGCTGTTTTTCACTTATTTTAATCGCCTTTCAATAACCCCCTTTTAAAAAGAAAAGTCCCTTTTTCTTTACAGTTTCTGTCTGTACCTGTTTGCCATCTGTTTTCCTTCTATTCTCTCTCATCCTCCCCTCAGTCACCCCATCAGTTGACTGCTCCTTTTTCTTGCTCTTCCCACTTCCTGTTCATCTCTTTCCTGCCCTTTAACCATCAATTCATCTCTTTCCTCAGTGAAAACAGCCACACTAATGAACATGTTCTGCTTGTCACTCACACAAGAGCACTATGAACACACCAAATACACTACACACACAAACACACAAAGCATCTGTGCAGTTCCTTCAATCCTCTCAAACAGCAGGATATTACATTTCATTTTAGGCAGCGGATCAAAGACACACTCAATCCGTCTGTATCTCTCTCTCCCTGTCCATCTCCATCTGTCTGTTTTTTGATGTCTCTGAAAACACAGGTATTTATCCATTATTCATGGTGACTTGTGTGATTTTTTTATTATAGAGGCAAGGTGTGTTATATATATATATATTCATATATATATTCATATATATATATTTTGTATGTGTGTGTGTGTGTGTGTGTGTGTGTGTGTGTGTGTGTGTGTGTGTGTGTGTGTGTACAGGTGTGTGTGTCTCCCAGTGAGCACTCAATCTATCATTGCATTTTATGTCTGCCGAATCAAGCTGAATGGAGGAGGAAGAATATCCAGACAGTATGACAGGCCTGCAATGTATGGTATGTGAAACTGTCACTTTTTTTTTTTTATTAAAATGTGTAAAAATGCTAATTCTGAAATCATGAAGGGAGTTCTGGTGAGCAAGTTAAAAAGTTAAACATATTTATTTTAAAATCAGTTGGATTCATTCAGTAACAGTGCACCTTGGAAGTTAGTCGTCATTGTGTCATGTTCTATTTTTATACTAATTATGAAAAACAAAATACGATAAAACACACATGTAGTAATCCATTATATCCCAATAGACCCTCATATGTATGTATAGACACAAATCACAACAACTTAGTTAGTCTTATAATATAAAGTATCAAAAAGAACTATAGTAAAATGTATTTTTAGTGGCACTGTAATTTCTTATATGCTTTAAAAGATACTGATTCCATGTATGTTAAAGGTGAAAAAACATTCAGAAGTATTCAGAAAACTTAAAATCATGCCAGTTAGTGGCATTAAGAAAGTATGAACACTTTGCTTGAAGCATCAAGTCATTCTAGGGAATACTTTCACATAATGTAAATGCAACATAAGCAAAAGACATATACAGTAAGCGTTACACTGCAGGGTGTACAAAAGAAAGGCACTAAAGGAGCAGGGAAATGCTAATGAGCAGTTTACATTAATGTAAATACACAAGTGCAGAGAAATTATTCTTTATCTCTACAGGCATTTATTATATAGTGTAGAGAAAATAGACAGCGGGCCTGCTCATTAGAAAGGAATTACTCCCACAGTACATGAAAGGCAGGGGGGGGATAAATCTAAAAAAATAAAAGTACACAGCTGAAATGGGCAGGTGGTAAAGGACAAACAAGAAACTTAGAAAAAGAGAAGAGGAGGAAGGTAGTAAGATGCCAGTTAAGAATGAAAGGGAGTGCTAACAGACACCCTCTCCCTTTCTCTAAGTTCCTGCCACACGAACACAAAAGAGAAACTCAGTGTCAACCTGCTCTCCCCATCTACAACTGCAGGCTATTGTTTGCTATTCTTTCCTTCCTTGTGTGCTGAATTATGCATAGGACTGGGGCCTGCCTCCAAACCTCAGATCACATCACAGCTCAATCTGACACATAAAAAACAGGTGTGCGCATTTTCTCCATCGATACACAATCACCAGAAGGCTCAAACACAAAAGTAATTCACCAGTTGAGGTGGTGTTTCTACACTGCAGCTGCAAAGAAGTGGGCTCTAACTTCTCTGGCAGACAAACTATCACCGTCTGAACTGTTTCTAAACCCTTGAGGTATACAATATAAACTGCAGTACATATTACTGTATATGCAGTATACAACATGTACACTCATAGATATGATCAGACTTTCATACTGAAGTGGAAATGATGACCTTTCCTAGGGCCAGACAAACTCAGCTGCTTTCCTTTGTAGCTTTGAAAACACATTTTATTGTGAAATATGAATTGACTGATGCGTGCTGCTACATCGTGTGCTGCTTCCATTTTGTTATCTACTGTATCATCTAGAAAATGTATTCTAGGAACGAAAAAAAAAAAAGAATGATGAGAAAGTTATTGTAGTAACCATCAACTTCACACACAACACACAGTAATTTTCAAGACACACACACACACACACACACACACACACACACACACACACACACACACACACACGTGTTGACGTTCATGCAAACAGGCATAAGTGCAGATTTACTCCCACCACTTCAACATACACATGCACACAAGAGTTTCAGCAAATGGTGGGTAATGCTGAGTTTGGTGCTGTATTTGAGAGGAAGAAATCGATGCAGACTGCCATCTGAAATGGCTTTTGCACTCACACATGAACATGCGCACACACAAAAACACACACAATTGCACAATGATTTTCACAAGTAATATAGAAGAGGTGATGGCCTTGTGGGCAATAAGCCTCTCCAGCTCTGCTGTGGAAGTATACAGACGACGTTTTCAAAGCCTCATCATACAGCAGAAATCACATGGCAGACTCACTGATAGGCACTCATCACAAAGATATACGGCTTCTGATACGATCTAGCATGAAAGCTTTGCTGTACACATACCAATCACTGATACAGATAATGGTCTATAGACTTCAAAGGGACACTATGATGAGAGCGAAAAAGTGAGGCAGGAGGAAGTAGAGAGTTAGATAGAGTTTGGCACGAAATGACAAACAGGCAGCACACAGCTGTTCCTCTCAGTGATTAAACTTCCACAGGCTGTGAGCACAAGCTAGCTAGGCTGGCTATCATTTAGGTTTTATAGTTTCTGATTCTTTATTTTTTCCGAGCTGTTCGTACATTTCTACACCCTTGAGACATTTGTTACAGACTCATGGTCCGATGACTCCAGACCACTAAGGGTAAAGGTCTGATCCTTTTCATATTATTTGAATGATTAAATAAATCAAAATATGTAAAAATAAATCAAATCAAAAACTTCTTCACTTAATTTACTTCACTTAATTTTTATGTGGTGATACATTTTGACATTAAAGTTCTAGCCACAGTCCACCATATTGTAAACACTGCACATCCTAATTGGTGATAAATAAGGAAGCCCATTCGTCGTACCTTGCTTTCAAAAATGTAAAACCTGGATTTAAAATCAGGTTTCTACATAAAGTTCTTATGAGTTCCAGTTCAGACCCGGTTCTCGATACTCATTCCTTGGGGTTATGTGGCAGGCTGTAGGCTCAGGTCTCTATGGCAGGTAGATTTATGAATAATCTTTGGCACAAAATGGCAGCCACTGCTGTAGGCTCTTACATCCATGTGTACAGAGGCAGCTGAGGTGCAACTGGCATCTCTGTGTCGTTATCAAAGGAGACAGGCAGAGGAGCTGCTCTCCCCAGGGGTGACAGCACAAGCACGGCTGAACATCTCGAAGTCATTCTTACTTTTCTCCCTCTTCCCCACTTCTACGGAAAATTCTCTCTCTCTCGTCCTCTCTCCTTATCACTCCATTTCCCCAACACAGCTCCGTCTCCATCTCCGTTCTCGGGGGAATCCACTATTCCCCACAGGCCTGTTTGTGCCTCTGCCTAGATGACATCCATCTTGTCAGGAGGGGGTTTCATTGTTCTACTTCTCACCATCTTTGCCACGTGTGCAACTTTACGCACTCCTGTGTGCCTACGCATATTAAAGAGTGAGTGACTGCATGTGTGTTCAGAAGTGAGGAGACGAAAATGGCAAGGGAGTGTGTAGCTATAAGTCG